GAGTGATTGCGTGACTATCACTCTGCTTTTTTTGTGTATAGACCTAATGAATTCTTAATATTTTATACATATCATATTTTGATTTTAAAATTATTATTTTGTGATGAAAAATGTTTCGGATGTATTGGGTATATATTTACGTACCATAAAATCACAACAGATGTGAGTATCAGATAAGTTGAGGTTTATTGATCTGAATACAACCGGTAAGTAAATTTTAAACTCAGACTAAAGAATTGTACCTTTAGACACAGCCCGCCAAAAAAAGGTCAAACTCAAAAAGAGTAGCAGTGAGACGACTTCTCGACACGACCAGTTAGAGCTAAAGCGCTACCAACAGCTTTACGTACTCTCCTATGTACGGGGTGAAACACCACCAACTTTTCAACTCCTGAGACTGAGGCTGTTACTGATAATTTCTAGACAGAAATATCAATAACTAAACTTTTGTATAGCATTTTGTTAATTACAATTTGCAAAACTATTTTTATTAACAACGCCCAAAGCATTAAAAAAATACATATAACATAATATATAGAAAACGAAATAAAATCAATGTACATACGTAAAAGGAGTCATTATTATATTATTACCTACCAAACCCGGGCACGCGTTACTGTGGCACAAATATGAAAAACGAAGTTTACGATTAAAAAAAAGAAAATAATCGGGATAAAAACTATCCTATCTTTTAAGTTGGAACAAATCACACATTTTAAGATCGGATAAATAGTTTCGAAGTTCAACCCGGTCCAATATCGTGACACGGGAAATTTATATATTAAGATCCTTTTGGAAACATGAGCAAAAAGCTGGGAACCTTCTCTCCTCCACTTTTACTTTACTTTTCCTGGACTTTTAGTAGATTTATCAGGACACCTTAACCATAGCCAAACTAATTTTGAAAGTAAGCGAATTATTTCACATCATTTGCTTAATTTTTTAGTTTCATTTTAATATAAATATTTAGTTTTTTTTTTTATATACGAGTAGGATATCTAATATTGTTGTATGTATTGAATCTATAGAGATATAATATATACTAGCAAAACAAATATTCCCCATACTTGGAAAACAATAGAAGCCAAATCAAAAGCTGTTATTTTAATTTGTCTTTCTGTTTTGTTTTGCATCACACGTCACTTTTTTTCATTAAGACACCTTTGCTTCACTTGAACTACAATTGGTCAAATGCGTGCTTTTTTAGTTTATGGTCTTAACTAATATATCACCGAATTTACGTTTTAAAAAAATTTGAAATTTAATTTTCTTGAAATTAAAGCATTTAATAATAGCTTCCTCAAATAATATTATTCTTTGCAAGAAAAAAAAACAAAATATTTTTATATGAAATTATTAAAATGTCAAAAAAATCTAATATCTGACCTACGAAGTGGGTAAGTTGTAACTTTTATACCTATTTTACCTACAGAGAGTGTCAGTCAGACCTACGATAGGACTGTCAACAGAAGAACGCTTGACTGTCAGGATAAGTTTTAATATTGCTGGCAAGCTTTGAAACCATTAATAAGAAAATTGAATTGAATTATTTTTAATATTGATATGTTAAGTAATTCCCTCCTGCAAAAAACTCAGTAAATATACCAGAATTAAACATTTGAGTCATTTGTGGCTATAAATAACATATTTACATAATAAATAAAATAGTATTATTATTGAAACAGGTTCTTGAATTATATTTTATTAAACCGGCTGTATTTACCAACAAATCGCAAAAAGCAGTTTACAACCGCATTGGTCTCTCAACGTATCGCGGACACAAAAGCTGCAAAGAATGGTGCCAACATACAAAGGATGAACAGAAAATGGGTTATACTACTGAAAGGTTGACTAAAAAATGATTATAGGAATATGGTTATGTAATACTATAAAGTGTAAACAGCTGTCGTGATAATAAATATTGATTCATATCTTTTTTCTACTAAAAAATAGTGGAAGATAAATAATATTAATACGTGTAAAATTGTTTTTTCTAAAGTCTGTAGGTAAACAAGCTTGCGTATTATGTAAACTTCAAGTTTTATTTCTGTGAAACAATTTTTGAAGGTTGACAAGGTTATTAAAGTTATTTTCTTTAATCTTAGTAAGATTATACGAGTTAAATTTTAGTTGTGACTTTAGATGTTTGTTATTCTATCACGCCAAAACGGCTGAACGGATCTGCGTGAAAGGCACAGAGATAGATTATTCTGGAATAGCATATAAGCTACTTTATATCCTGGAAAAATGTACGGTTCCCGTGGGATAGATTTGTTTTTGTTTTTCTACAGGCGAACCACAGAAATCTTAATATTAGCTTATTATTAAGATTTCTGTGAGGCGAACCGAGCGAAGCAAGAGTGAGCCGCTAGTATTATAATATTTGAAAAAACTTTGAACGTAACAAATAAATAAGCTCTAATATTTTAACATTATCCTCCTTCTGATAATGCTGAAATAGAGTATCGGCCACAAAGAGATCCACTCAATAAAGTGGAGATAAATCACAGCCGCGATCGAGCGTATACTTTAAAAGCCTTAGAACTTCTTTATTAAACTAGTTCAAGCTGTGGTATTGTATATTACATTGTTTGTTAAAGAGTCAGTTTTAATCACAACTTTCAATTTTTCCTAAGCATGTAAATATATAGACTCAATAAAATAGTAACGAGGTCGCATTTTTGCAACGTAGAATATATATAATTTGTCAAATCTGCTCCTCAGATTTGGAATTGTATAAACATAAATAGGTACTCAGATATTTTATTAGCTCACAGGAATTCTCTTGAATGCACTTAAAATGAGTAACACGTTTTAATATAACTTTCGTTATTATTCAATATCCTAATTTATAATTAATTATATATATATATATATATATATATATATATATATATATATATATATATCCATTATGTTCAATACAACAATTAAATTTAATAAATAAGGTGATGATTGCGGCTTTATGTTACCTAAGAAGGGATCACGTTCAGTGGTTACGAAATGAATAGCAACACACAAAGGTGCGAAGCCGCAGGCAGGTGCGAAAAAGTACTTGGACTCTAATAAAACAGAGATTTTATAAATTATTATAATTTATTAATAAAGAATTATATCAACAACGATGAACTCAAAGTATTTTTATGACCTTGAAGAAAAACTTCATAATAAAGATTATATAAAAGCTCTTTGTAAAGAACAAAATCAGGCTTCAAACATTATTAAGAGACGAGTGATCGGCGCTCTGGTGAATTTCGGTTTATGTTCAACGCCGAAGTCTTTGTGGCTCTTTCAGCAACACAATAGGGACAAAAGTTATTCAACGACAATGCGAGCACCAAATACCGATCGTCCAGCCCCCTACCCCCCTTTCCGAGTAGGTGCCTAACCATTGTTTACTTTAATACTCTTCTTTTATGTAGGTATATTATCGACAGAACCATCAATGTAATCGCGAAATTGAATAAACAGCCAGAAAACGGTAAAATTATATGTTTCTAAATATTATATCTAACATAATTTTTATATATCTGTACAAATGACGTATTTTTAGGATTCCATAGCACAGAAGGAACTGTTGTCTGTTACCTATAGTGTTGTCATTCCGCCGGTTCCTCCGCGTGTATGATATAATTAGTATAAATATTTTTTTTTTGCAGTATTAAAGAGTTAATGAATAAAGCTTGTCATTAGATATTTCATCATAAGAAATTTTATAGCATATAAAGTACCTATATTTCTATTACAAAAAAACCCGGCTTTATAGATATACAATCAAGGATTGGACACAATCAAGGATTCGAAAAAAACGCTAGAATGTAATTAAAGTTAGATTGGAAATATATATGTATACTAGCATTGCCCGCGGCTCCGCCCGCGTTCAGATGACCAAAAACCAAATTCTTAGGTTTTACATATTAATATACTCTTACATTACAATTTTTGTATTTTTTCTCAAAAATGAGATATTTTCCCGTGGTAAAAGGTATCCTATAAATTGACCCGGATAAGCAGCTATCATCATACCAAATTTCATCAAAATCCCTTGAGTAGTTTTTCTGTGATGCGGTAGCAGACAAACAGACAGACAGACAGACAGACAGACAAAAATTCTAAAAACTATAGATTCGGCCTCTGTATCGATAATAATGTTTATTTCAATAAGATTTTCCAAAAAACATCTAATGTACAGATTTGGCTTGGTTACAATTTTATTATATGTATAGATCTATACATATTATAATAAAATTATGATCTATACATATAATAAAATTATAATATATATCATACAGAAAAACCACTGGAGGGATATTGATGAAATTTGGTATGGTGATAGCTGGTTATCCGTGTCAACATATAGGATACTTTTTACCGCGGTAAAATATCTCATTTCTAAGAAAATATACAAAAACTGCAAGTAAGAATATACAAATATGTAAAACCTAAGAATTTGGTTTTTGGTTAACTGAACGCAGGCGGAGCCGCGGGCAATGCTTGTATATTCCCTATATAAAATAATATTTTAAAAACACATTTTATTTCTTAATCGCAATATGTACCACATCAACAAAATTTAATCTTGAGTTATAAAATTTTGCTACCAACACCTGTTTATTGTCTACTTAAGATAAATAAGAATAAAAGGAAGGTAACTAGTTTGTTAAGCATATAATGCTTACGTATATTTCACTGCTAGATACGTAGATCACTTTATATGAAAAACTGACGAGAACATCTTCAGATATTTCTGTAATGGAAATTCTCTTAGATTATCTTATTTTTTAATTTTTTGTCCGCCAATCTAACGTGGTGGATTATAACCTGATCTCCCTCGCATTGTAGGGAAGTCCGTGGCAAGCAGTGGAACGTTAAAAAGGGCTGAATACAAACATACATTTTTAAAATTGTTTAAAAGGAGTGTCATAAAGTAACTATTTTCTTTCTCCGCACAAGAATATTTAGACCTGTTTAGTTCTACAATTTCAAACATAGCTGCCGAGATGATATCATGTTTAACAATATTTCGTCAGTTACTATTCACAACGATCGCCGTTACAAAAAGCCTGAACGCTCGTACAAAAGCTGCAAAGAATGAATGGGTGTGGGTGGAGGGGGTATGTCGATTCAATAGGGATGTGTAGTTACGTAAGTATGTTTTGTGGTGCGTGCTAAGGAACATGCTTGATACTTTTTAAACATTTACATGTCTAAACAACTTGGCATCATCTTCAGCCGTTGATGCATCATGATGTAAGAAAATAAATTCATTTACACTTTTTAAGTAATACCTATGTCTTACGGTCATTATTTTTTAACACTGCTTTATTATAAGATACGAATTGACTTTAAGCACCCTTAGTGGCGATCTGTCTGCTTCCGACTAACACACCATAAATTTTGAGATTAGTTGAACCTCGTCATGTTAAATAACTTTTGGAATATTACTAGTATAATATATAACATAATACTAAAGAAAACAAACAACAAAGATAATTTTAATAGGTATTTAATTGAAATAAGATGGGACAACAAAATAAGTCATTTTTTTACTATAAAACAAACTTCTGCTTGTTAAATAAAATTACTGAGTGTATCATGTATCTTATCCTTTAGTGGTTTATGAATATACGCCGACAGCTTACATGGTACGTACTAGACTATTACATTTTCAAATAAGCATGACTAATGAGTTCTTAACAAGTAAATAGCAGGTTCTTTTTAGTCCCCGCGTCGCAAGGCTATACAAAAGTCGTATACTGGCGGTTTCACGAACAACTTTGAGTGTGACCCCACAAAGCTGTGGAACGTCATTTAAATGCACACGTTTCATTGGCTCTGAATGCTTCAGGGAAGTAGAAAAAGAACGGGCCAATTACGACGCTTTTGTAACGACGCGACCTCTCGAAGTCTTGAGTGTAACTTTATTTTGTAGGGATTCAAGACTCCTTTCATTTTGGAAATTCGAATACACCACATATCAAAAGCTGTGATAGCCCAGAATATCAAAAACAAGTTTAATTAGAAGTGAACCCCTTTTGCAGAATGAATCCTATTTTGCTATTGAAATATGACAAAAAATGCAGAAGAAATTATACTTTGATTTACTTGAGAATTCAAAGAAACTTTTTTTACCTTTTCGAAATGCTAAAGATTTTCTTTAAGTAAAGTAGATTCTTTAAATGAAGTAGGTAGTAAAGGAGCGCAATCCATTGGCTAGCCAACCGACTGAAGCGAATCTTTGCGGTTACCTTTCCGTTTCTTCGCCTTCTTTGAATCGGATTCTTTTGACTGAAAATATAGACGGACTGTATAATAAATAGGTATAATATTACTTCAGACTTTAATAGAACCTTAACCATTGAATAGTTCTTTCATATATTTACGTTTTGCAAAGAAAATTTATATTTACTTAAATAATAATGTGCAGAAACGTGTTTGAGCTTTTCAATATTATATTTTAAAAAAATGTGATCGATGTGAAATAAAATTTGTATGTAGATTATTTCACTAACTAGGCATTAATTAGCCTTACTTGATCATCATCATCATCTCCATGGCCACTTCCCAAATTACTTGGGATCGGCGCAGTAGGTCTTTCTCTTTCACTCTCTCCTATTACTCGTCATCTCATCATTCACTCCTTTCTCTTTCATGTGTCTAATACAATCAATCCGCCTTTCCTTTTTTCTCTATCTTTCCATCCACCTATATTCATTTCCATCACTCTTCTCGTTACATGCGTTTCATCCCTCCTCTTTACATGTCCATACTAACTCACGACGGTTCCCTTTCAACTTTTCTGTCACTGACACTACTTTCAAGTTTCCTCGTATATACTCATTCCTTATTTGATGCCTGTAGCATTTTTATGAATAACATTATGGCAAAAATCCCTGACTCCCTCATATTTCAATGAAAAATGCAATAAGTAGCTTATAGCTGAAACAGAATACTGTTCTACTAACTGTTGTTGAGTTTCGAGATGAGTACAGTATTTTTAATTTTAAACAGCATTAATAAAAAATAGTCTCATTCATGTATTTTATACCAAGTTATATTTCTTATAGCTTTTCATCCATTTTTTTTGTGTAAGAACATGTTTAATGTTCTCTGGGTATATTATCAGATAAATATAAAAAACATATTGACGATCTACATTTTAATTTTAAGAATCCATACTATTATAAATGTGAAAGTGTGTTTGTTTGTTTGTCTTTCTTTCACGTCGAAACGGCTTGGCGGATTGGCGTAATTTTTTGTGAAGATAGTTGAAGGGCTGGAGAATGACATAGGCTAAGTAAGGAAAACACGTTATAATACAATCCGAAAAAATATTTATGATCAGAATTACTTGAAACTTGTTATAAAATATAAATGCTCTTCAATACAATTAATTAAATACGCGTTTTAGCATTTTCCGAAATTCATCCCATAAGAGGGTAAAATAGCGGTTGAAAGTTTGTATGAAACCTACCATTCTAGAGTTTTTTTTGTATTGGATTCTGCTAGTATTTTATAAATAACGATTTCGCGCACACTAATTAAAAATTAGAATACATAATGCAATGTCCAGTTTATATTATTTCAAAACTAGTAGTTCCAACATGAAAGGCAATGGAGTTCCTCGACAGGTATTTCATTGAGAATTAAACAGGTGTCCAACTGCTAGGAAGCCAACGATTGAAACTTGAATGGGACAGCATCATCGATTATGTACGGACCTCTGATCAAAATGCATTTATAGCGTTTGGTCGTTCGTTAGCGAGCCGTCAATGCGGCTCGGTCCACCCGCTATAAATTCCGTATTGAGCGGACACACAACAAAGCGCGTTTTGTCTTGCAAATGAAAACGCGCACATTTCGCGGTATTGTGCGCGGCTGTTTCGGTGCCCGCCATTATTAACGGCGAACATGAAAGACAAAAGGTTCGTCTGCAGCACTGAGGCTGGCCTAGATAGCAGATTATTGTACTAACACAATAGAAGCGTTAATTCCCCGAGTCTACCATTATTTTGTTGTTTGCAAGTTTATCGCGTCAATCGATTTCATCGCGATCGGCTTTTGTTTTGCAATGTAGTTTCATAATAATTTTATTAAATAATAATGAGATTTTTTTTATCATTTATGTAAGTGTTTTTCAAAACAAATAAAATGATAAGTACCCATTCAGTCCGTAACCTTGCCGAAGCATCAATTTATTTAATACTTATGTACGAGTATACATAAAATTACTATAATTAAATATATAAAATATAATCTAACAATTTGTGAAGGTATAGCCTTATTCTATTATATTTCTCTATTAGTATTTTGAAAAAAACTTACCGATGTTTTGGTGAGAGTTATTAAGTTCTACATTTAATTTATTAATTTAACCTATACAGTAGATAAAAAAGAAATGATTTTACAAAGTGTTTGAATAAAATAAAATACATACTTATACATTAATATTCAAATATTTAAAGAAAAAATTGAGTTAGTTTTTAAAATAAGTAGGACTCTATTACATTAAAGACTTATATACAAATATATTTTCTAAAAAGAAAATGTATACCTATCTAAATAAAAATGATATAATAATATAATCAAATAAGAATCTACTCAGAAACTTACCCCCAAAAGTTTTCTCCAGTGAAAAATTCCTATATCTCCGAATAGTATCACACAATCACAAAACACACGGCACATCACAAAAACAATTCTGGCACCTAGTACTCCACAGATCCAATATCAAAATGAAAATTATTTGGCGGGAAATTTTATTTCCGACGAAAAAGTTCCAACTAGCTTAGGCTGCTCGTTTAACTGCCAAGCGATCGTGTTCTCTAAGATACTGGCACAGACTGCGAGCCGGCCGGCTAGTGACGAGAACGCTTTCCCGCGCCGAATCCTTGCGCACCACGCGTTATATCAACCATCCCTCATCCACCCCACATTATATGCATACAGTGCAAGATGCATAATACAAACTGATTAAGTATATTATAAAACAGTAATGTCATCAATAGAATATTATGGTGCATTACTTGGCTTAATACTTGTACGTTAAGTATATAAGTTAAGTATTTATGCTTAATTGCATTTCTATTATCATTTATTACCTATAAATAGACATATTAATTGCAAAATTATTTTTAAGTGATATCTCCTTCATTTAACTACACCAGATTCGAATAGGAGCTTACGTAAAAATAATATTATATGGCCAATATTTAAATAAGATATTATTAAGATAATAAGATTGTTTTATTTTACATGTTTAATCCCCGAATGTCACTGGAACTACTAGTCAGATGAGATTTTTTTTTATTCATTTGAAAGCCTATTAAGACTATTTAACATCACCCTTCGAGCGATAGAACTGTGGAGCAGAGCTTTTACATACCATTTATATTAAAAGTAAGATGGAAATTCAAATTACATTACACCAAAGTAATAAATATACATACTAAAATGATTAAATATTAAATTAACGATACATTATTCTGAACAATAATAGTACCCTCACATATCATAAGAAAACGATTCACATTCATGCGTTATATCTCGTAAAAGGAAGCCCCAAAGACTGCAGAAGTTGATATAAGGTGAAAACGTTGAGTAATATGTCCGATGAAATTGTTCCAAAGGCGGCACAAAGCGACACTGTGTATTGTGTCAGCCCACACAATACACCTTGCATACACGATAGCAAATTTATGTTGATACACGATAAAAATGTCACACAATTAACGAATCGCACTGTCGATTTTTATTTTCCTTTAAGTTGGAAAATCCTGTATGAAATCGTCATTCTATTTATATTTAGTAGTGTTAGTATATTTTATACACATTTGCTTATGCGATATTGCATGTATAATTTTTATATGATAATAAAATAGATACCTAGTGGGTAATGGTATATCTATGATGTAGAAACTACATAAAGAAGCAAACCGAAAGAAAAGTTGAAAGAAATCGTTGTCTAGGCTCTGAAAATAAATAAGTGTTGAGGAATAAAATAAGTTTCGCGGTCCACCATTGTGCGAGGGACCGCCTCTCAGTCCAAACAGTATTTCTATTGTGTCTGCCATTACCTAGCCCTCTTTCGCCTTTTGTATTCGCCTCTTCTATTGAAGTGAGACCTTCCCAATGACGCTTTATGGTCGCTTTGAAGTATGCAAGATATATACTTACGTGCCTAAACATAATTCTAAAATATTACGTGAACTACAATATTTTTAGTAGGTACATCAAATGATATTTCAGCCATCACGTAAATGATGTATGTACATATTCTGGCTAAAAACTAAGATTTTATATATAGGTAGCTATGCTATCACATATGCCTGGTTAGTTGTTTTATCCTGATATAAACCTCCTACCCTACTTGTAAACTACCATTATTCCGAATTTTACTCAATTCAGTGGAGCTGTTACGGTATAAAGATAAAAGAAATACCTAACAAGCTTTCTTATTTATAATCTTAATTTAATTTCGCTTTAAAAAGAAATTTACATACCTATTTGTATTTAAGGAGAACACTGGCCTTAAATAAATATTGTGATTTTAGAAATTCTTTATTAGTTGTTATTACTTACGTGGTGCGATTATTGGCCCAAGTAGAACGCAAAACCCGAATCATACCTACTCGAAACGCGCGGTTTCTCAATAACTAAAACAGCGCGAGGACCTTGGGCCCAGAAACTCACCCACTCTTTTAAAAAAGCAGATATATTGACGCGAGAATTTTCGATTGAAAATTAGGGTGCTTTTTCGATATGAGGTAAGTCACAATAATGTGAAAAAATAAATATTTTAAATAAAAAAAAAACACAGTATGTTTGTGACATAAAGAGGTAAGTTTTCACCAAATTTCGTGTAAAGATTTTTTTTTGTAAAAGATAAAAATAAAAAACCAAAAACTTGGTTATTTGAATTTTTCAAATAAATTTTGAGGTTATGTGAAAAAAGTGTAAATACAAAATTTGTAGATCTTTCTATTACCTACAACCTTGCTATTTAACTTTTTTCCATAGGACTTGTAGTTTTGCCGGAAATCGAGATGAACCGTTTTTTACCCTTAAAAACTCACCTCCCACTTCCCGAACTCAGATCGCCCGTAAATTATTTTTCCTTTCATTTTTCTTATCTTCTCTTCCTTTTCCAATGGGGTTTGATCCAACTATTACTTTTTTTGGTTTTTAAAAATTATCGACCCTGGTCTAACATAAAAAATGAATTTTGTAAAACCAAATCTGCTATCTTTACGCCCCCATGCTGTACGGGAGTATTCTTTAGGTTAAAGGATAAGTATATAACAACTATTTATGGAAAGAGGATATTATTTTAAATTTTTGTATAAGTAACTTAAATGTTAATAAAAAAATATATGTACTGTATACTAGATTTCAAATCGTGAAGATCCAGATAGAACGCGATTATTAAAAATCGGTATAGATCCATAACCTCCTAATTTTTCAAAATCATTGATTTTCATAGCATAAAGTTAAAAATTTGCTCACACTCCAAATTTTACCGCCCCTAAAACTTTGCCGCCCTGGGCACAAGCCCCGAGTGTAAATCCAGGGCTGGGGACTGGACTCGCCAATTGACGATTTTTTTCACAATTTCAACTTGTCAAAGGGACCTTCCCAAATTTCGTCGCCTGCTCTTGGAATATAATTTTAAGATGTCATGTGTGGTGTCATTTTATCTTTTTACGAAGTTTTCTTTCATTTTAACAAAATAAAAACACTAACATTTTCCCGAATACGTTCAATTATGTATTACTATATCTTTAAAAATGATAGCCTATGTGTTAGTCTGATGTAAAAGCTTTAATACTGTAAAGTTACTTACTGGATTTATTTACGATTACTTGACAACACGTTTGGCTCAGTTTGTAGTGAGTAGTAACCCTACTTACTGTGCCAGCAGCTGCCGCTTCGAGTCCCGCTAGGGGCATTAATTTGCGTGATGAGCACGAATGTTATACTTCTATGCTGTGCTGTGCATTAATATCCCAACATATAAAAAATAAAAAAACTTTACGATTACGTTTTCATATTAGAACATCATTTTATTAAGATATTTTATAATAAAATGTATTGAGTATTATTTATGCCAATATTAAAAATGAGTTACATATCTAATATATTTAAACGAGCAATTCTTGATATTGATATTGATATATATATATATATATACTTATTATAAAAATAAGTCCCCCGGCCGCGTCTTTCTGTCCTCCTGTCTGTCCTCCTGTCTGTCTGTACGCGATAAACTCGAAAACTACTGAACGGATTTTTATACGGTTTTCAACAATAGAAAGAGTAATTCTTGAGGAAGGTTTAGGTATATAATTTATTATGCTTTTATGTAAATTAGCTGAAATACGGCGACAAATGTTGAAGAGGTCGCAAAAAATCTCGCCAAATGGGAACTTTCCACGCGAACGCCGCGTAAACTAGCAAAGATACAGTTAAGTAATGTACTAGAGAATTCAAAATCTATAAAAATGCTACAAAAAAGTCCGCGATAGCATATCTCTATCTCTTACGGTTGACTTACAATAACCACTTTTATGTTAACATTTTTAATTAAAAACATTACGTTATTTTCAAAGTTATTTTCTTTAGTTCGGTATTAATCCTTATCCAAATGAATATTTTAGTTAGCTTAGTCATTTAATGCAGATTAAAATTGCTCTTTACACTAAATCAATCAGATGAATAGTTTTTGAGATATCGTTGTTAGAAGTAATTAGTAGCGAAACATTTTTAATGCTTGGCGAGCATTGAGATGCCTACGGCGAGTCCATCCCCTCTGCCCCGCATCGCTCGACCGCCTGCTCAAGCTATATAAACCGGGCGATGTAGCGCGCGATCCTAGGATACTTTTTACCGCGGGAAAATATCTTATTTCTGAGGAAAAATACAAAAACTGCAATGTAAGAGTATACTAATATGTAACACCTAAGAATTTAGTTTTTGGTCATCTGAACGCGGGCGGAGCCGCGGGCAATGCTAGTATATATATATAATCTGAATCTCGGAAACGGCTCTAACGATTTTCATGAAATTTAGTATACATGGGGTTTCGGGGGCAATAAATCGATCTAGATTAGTCTTATGTCTGGGAAAACGCATTTTTTCGAACTTTCATGCGGATTTGTTTTGCATTATTCCACGCAAAATATTATGTTCAATAATTTCACATGCTCGGATAAGCATCATGGTCAAGCGGCCAAGGTGCAAGATCATCATTCACAGGTGTCCAGGTTCGAATCTCGGTCGCATACAAAGTTTTTACTTTTATTTTTTTAATATTTATTCAAGTTTTTAGTTTTTTTTAAAAACAAAGACGCAAGATTGACAATCATAGTTGTCCGGGTTCAAATACCGGTCGGATACAAAGGTATAATTTATTTATGTTTTTTTTTGTATATATTTAAGTTTTTAGTTTTTTTTTTAAAGAAAATTGTACTTTTCAACCAAAAACTCCGAGCGAAGGTTGGGTGTCCATGTAATATGATTATATGAAAGCATTTACCTAAAAACCATAACTTAAACCGAATTTCGGCAGCTTGAGCTGAACTTCGGCATTCGGCCGAAATTCGATTTGAATGCCGAACATTCGGCAATAGAAAAAAAATACCTACTTCCACTATTTTGACTGAAATTAATAGAAAGCATGTCTGTTATATCAGTAGAATAAAATTAAGGCTTTTATATACTCATTAGTCCGATCGGAATCCGGTTTGGAAACAAAAAAATTAAAACCTGAAGTTGTATATCTTCAAAACGTTAGCAAATATATTTTTCTTATATACAAAAATTCGTAAAATGTCCCCGATGTTTAGCTACCCCCGAAAAATGAGGAGATGAAAAACGTTGAAACATAGTTTCTTTCCAATTTTCGGCTTACTGTGAGGCCCTATCGAAAAATATTCTCTTCAAAAGTTGTAGGTCTAGTAAAAATCTACAACTCGGGCTGAGTAGTCGTTGTGACTAATATTTAAATAATACTTATTACGAAGGGGTATTCAGGGCCCGATTCTACCAAAAAAATCATAGATGGTACTGTGCAATGACCTATGGTAAATGTAAACTTCTTTGTCGATTTTAAATAGCAAATTCTTTTAACCAAGATCCAGAAAATCATTCCTTGTTCATATCTAAATAGTAAATAGGTACCAAATATAAAATATTAGATTACAACATCTAATGTTAAATATTGATTTGAACTTATAATGATGTATTTAAATAATATTTTACTATTGTTCTATTGTTTCAATGCGTACTAAATTTTTTTTAAGTTTTTAGCAAGTTTCGATTGTTTCTAGATTATGGTACGATTAAATAAAAAATAAATCTGGCAACCCTATGCCTGTCTCTTTCTCTGAATCTGAAACTCTAGACTCTAGAGTCTAGTCTATGCTTGTGCGTCAATGGAAGAATCAAGAAACGTGCTAAGTACGCCATTTTGATTTCATGGAAGTGCTTTGTGAATTCATTTTCTGCCATTAATAGTAAACCGCGGATAATATCGATTTATTAAATTTATCTAACAAAAACAGTGTAATAAATCTGCTGTAAAGTAAGTATTACTTGAAAATTATAGTGTTAGAACATAGTTCTTTTAGTACAAGATGGCGGCCCGACCGGATAAGAATAATTTTACTAAAATTAAACCATTTTTTTCAACAAACTTAAAATTCTCACTACTCTACATTTTTTCAGCACTCCTGTTATGGAGCCGGTTCTGGATGCGTCCTTAGTGGCGCAATCCATAAATTACCATGGACAGCAATTACAAAAGGCGTGGGAGGGCGAACGAGGAGAAGAGGACTTGGCTAAAATAGGTGTAGGCCCCCTAGACTTTGCCGTTTACCAGTCCAGACATAAGCATCTTACTTTCCAAGATCGGGGAAAGCGATTAAATTTACATCAGTTTATTGCAAAAGAGGCAAATGCCTTATTTGATGCTTCATTATTAGAAGAAACTCCATCGTCTTCTAGTTTAGGGGCAGATGCAACTACGCCAGAAGACAGTAAGTAATTTACATACCCTTATATATAAATATATTAAAGAGCATATTTATTTTTATTAAGAATAAAATCGATAAAAAAAACCTTTTAAGGTAATAATCAACTTTCAATTTCGCCCACTCAGTCTAAATGACTAAGACAAGACTCGATGAGTTCTACTTTATTTTAGTATCAAAGCATGTAAACAGTATTAAATTAAATGAATTACGAATGGTTCAAAGGGTCTAGCCGTACTTCCATATATGGTGGTATATATATACATATATATACACTTATAGATATACTTATAGCACTTCAAAATCATTGTACTTAATTACACAATAGATACCTATATTTTTTTTTATTTATTTACAGACTTGTATGCTTTGATGCCACCATTTGAAACATTTTTGAATGTAGACAAATCTGCAAGGCTGAGGCATTTTTTTGATGTAAGTAATTTTGTTTTTTTTTTTAGCAAAGTAACCATTTATAGCAGAAATTTAAAGTGTAGTCTTACTACTATTACAATTTTCTTTTGAGTTATTAGTGATATATACAAAATACAACTTTATAAATTATACCTACAGAAAGTTTCTAACCCAAGGTTAGAAACTTTCCATATTTGGCTTTGCCATCATTCAATGATTTCATTTTTTTAAGATATGTAGGTTTTTATAATCCTTTGGGAGTGTAAAACTATGTATGAACAAGATAGTTGTATGATTAACATTTTTTTATTATAATAAATATTTAATTAATAAATAAAGTACAACACAATATCAATCAGGTGTTATGACTAGTACTATTTTCAAATTGTTTTCTTTTATTATTTATTTATTTAAAATTAGCCTTTAATTATATTCTTTGAATATAATGATAATAACAATTTATTTATATTTCTATGTATTAATTGCTTAATATTTTATTTTCTATGTATAGAATGTGAAGACAGGAGAACTTATCATTGGAGCAGTGATCAACAGAACAGCATCTGGAATGATGTTGAAGGTGCTATGCACAGCTGCTCCCACTCCCAGATATGTTGCTGATATCAATGTAAAGGTAAAAATAGTTTCAATATAAATAATAAAGTACAAGAATTGATCTATTTTATTGCATACTCAAGACATTAAAAAAATACTCATTGTAATTGTTAGATATTTCATTCTTTGCTATTCATTAATATTGGAATAGTGTATACTAGGTTGTGCTATGCTTTCTTTTCCATGACCCTTACTGTGGTAATCATTGTTAATTAAACACTTCACATGTATGACCATGAAAATTTTTATGATTCTTATCTGAGTATTTAAAATTAATAGATATTCAATTTTTTGTTCTTATCAATGCTATATAAATTACTTTTTTAGGCATTTTTACCAGTTGCAAATATCATACCAGCTGTGGACAAGAAAAATGTGTCAAGAAACTACCTGATGAATGACACAGTGTGCTGTGAAGTGATAGAAGTTATCCCTGACACGGACAAAATGGTGTGCGGCATGAAGGGGGTCACTCGGGGCCCTGATGATCCCCCACCTAAGCCACCTCTAGGACTCCTCAGCACTGATGACTTTCCTCTGGTCTACAAGTATGTATTTTACATTAAAATAAATTAAATCACAGTATTGTCACACTTTGCAGGGTTGTATAACACATTTTTATCGCACTATATTTTATATATCACTTTTGTTGTGAAGATGTAAAAATATTCTTATGTTGGATATGGAAAATTTGATGAAGATTTTTAATATTGCCTTCCAAGTTATATGGAATAGTATTTCAAGAATATACTGTTTATTTGTTACCATTAAAAGAAGATTAGAAGATAGAAAATGTATAAAATAAATCTGGTGCTATGAATATGAAGAGCTTAATGCAGATTTGAGATTACCAATGTGCCGACAGCAATGTGCAGAAAATTATATTTACTTTGTTTTGACATTCAGTGTATTGTGATTTTTTTTTGTATTTTTCACACAAACATTAGGAAACTAGAGACGAGCTATTTCTGTGAATAAATGTTTTCACTGTTTTCTGGTCACTTTTTCAGTACAGATTTATACAATTCACCATAGTGACTGTGATTGCACAAATATATTGTTTTGAACTTGACATAATTAAAAAAATTTGGATTATTGAAGACATTACTCATAAACAATTTGGACGCGCGTTTAGCTTTATTTATGGATATTCATCAGATTTTGCATGTCAAAATCCATACACTTTATCGCAAAGAAAAGGTCAGTACATATTCATAGGGTCACTTCATTCTGATGTCTGTAAGCAGAACATAATTTCTGTATTAAATCTAATATTTAATATTGCAGCATTATCTCAAAGCATTGATTGGACTTTAATATAATCAACATTTGTCGGGCGTTGGCGTTATTTTTTATTAAAAATGGACTAGCCCTGGCTGTTAATGTATTTAGCTGATGTGAGGCTCCCAGAGACGATACAATAGTTTGGCAAAAGCGACGGCGGTTTGCGCCATTTCGTTGGACACTGGTTAAGCAGGCTACGAAAGGAAACCTCTTCCTCTATTATTTTAGGGTGTTTTTTTCTAGGTGTAGAGAACAACCCCCAAGACTTATTTGTAAAATCTACATTATATTGTGACCGTAGCTGCGACATTTTGGTAATATTAAAGTCACATTGTCGAAGCGGCATCACCTAATCTATGATGTTATATTTGTGTGTGAAAGAAATAAAATTCAAGTAAAATAACATTTTTTGAACAGCTCCAAGGGAACAGGTGAGGATGAGTATGTGTGAAATTATGACTGACATAAGGAATCTATTCTTGAGACGATTCATTCAGTTCATTTTGAGTCTATTTACAGTTAAGCAATAGTGGAATGACTCGGGTCAAAATTAAAAGGATATATACAACTGTGGTCAAACTTCTGTGTTTTTAATTGATTAATTTTTTGGCAGGAAAACTATGGAAATGAAGGGAGAAAGTTATGAAGCTATTTTGGAGAAGAGTCCTGGCTTCAATAATCCTAACTGCGTCCAATACCTCTCTGAACTTCTTGGGATCTCCAATATGTACTGCACAAATTTTTCAACACTGAGGTATGTTAATGCTGTTATTTGAATAGTCATAACTTACGTGAGATTTATTGTTGTAATTTTACATTCAAGTCAAAGTTACCTTTGCATACTTTACATGCTGAAGTTTGTTTTTAATATTGTTTATTTCTTGGTTGTTTCTCCATAATACATATTTCTAAGTTTTATAACCTGAATAAATTTAAATGACTTATTATCATAAGTAGCTATCAATGTATTTAAAGCTTGCTTTATTCCAAAGTCACCAACAATTACTTATAGCAAACTACTTTTCTAAAGAAAGTTTCAGAAGTCCATGGAACATTTGTTTTGCTAAAAATATAACTTTTTAAACTGTAAGTGCAATCTATGAATCTTGTTCTTATATTATTGATTGACAATAAAAGGCTCAAAACTAAATCTTAACATAGTACTATGAAAAAGTTATTATAAGATAGACATGAGATAAGAGTTAATACAATTTTATTATTTAAATTAAGATTTAGTGTATTTAATCATATTCTTTCTTCCTAATTGATTCATTTATTTATTTTCCTAGGGGAGGATTTTCAACATCAGAATACGCGGATGAATTACGTCAAGCTCAAGCAAGCAAATGGGCATTCAGATCTGTGGCCCAAGGAATAGAACATTTCAAAGCAGGAAGACATTCTGAAGCATTCCAATGCCTTAATAAAGCACTAAGCATAGATCCTAGAAATGTTGAAGGTCTTGTGGCAAGAGGAGCTCTATATGCTAATAGTGGAACATTCAAGAAGGCCATAGAGGACTTTGAAACTTCATTGAAGCTTAATCCTAATCATGCGAATGCGCGCAAATACTTAGGAGAAACATTAGTTGCTCTAGGTCGAAGTTACGAGGACGAAAATAAAATACCTGAAGCGCAAAAGGCTTATGAGGATTGCTTAGCTATTATACCATTCCACGAAGAAGCCCAAAACTCTTTAGACTTCCTTAGAAGCAAAACTTCTGCTACCAAACCCTTGATAGAACCAGATGAACTATTACTACCAGGCTTAACAGGAGCAAAATCATTTGAAATGCAGGAGACCTTAAAACAGTTGCTCAATTTAACAGAGAAAAAGGAAAAAAAGAAAAAGAAGAAGCGCGGTAAGGGAAAAAAGAAACGATCCAGCAGTTCTTCTTCATCGTCAAGCGATTCATCAAGCTCCAGTTCTTCTTCGGAATCTTCTTCTTCATCATCAGATTCCAGTGGTGAGGAATTTTTTGTATAATTATACATGCTTAAGTTATCAACACATTATTATTCTTTTTAGTTTTTATACTAGACAGCACCAAAGACAGTGTCAAGTTCAGTTCAGCTTAGTGATGGTAATTGTAGTTCTAAATTGAAATTTTCATATTTAACAGTAGTTAAAAATCAATAACATTCTTGCACTAACCATTTTGTCTCGTATATATCATAGATACAGAAGTGCATGTTTTCAGAATCAGAAGGACCTAATCGCAAAAAGAAACGTCGCTCGCAGTCCAACAATAAGAGGCAGCGGTCTCTCTCCCCGCTCAGCAAGCGCATGGCGATGTTAGGTGACGCGGACTCGGCGTCTAGGACTCACAACTCGCAGTTTAACCACCCCTACGGGTACCAACCCCCACCCCCACCTGTCGAAGAACCAGCTAATATGCCCGTCAAATCGCAGGCGGACATTGACTATGAATTAAAGGTATGGATTTTTATTAAATGTAAAGGATAGATAAATAGTGCATTCATGATATAAGTAATGAAAATGTGAATAAAGTTTTTAAAGATTGGTAAGAAGTTAGTTTGACCCTAGGAAGGATGTAGGATAGTTTTTATCCCGGAAATCATCCCATATGGGGATGAAAATTTGTATAGGGAGTTATATATATATAATTATGTACATATGTAAATCATAATAATACTAGACCAAATTATATATAAAAAAGAATTGTGATTATTATTAAGAGATAGAAAAAAAAACTTTGAAATTATCTTTCATTTGCAAGTATTCTAAAGTATGTTTCCCATCATCAGGTACGAAAGTTCCTAGAAATGACCAAAGAAGATTCTGACTATGAAGACAAAGTACGTAACTTCCTAGAGGAAACTGCTCAGTATAAGCGCAATCGTAAAATGCAAGAGTTGGGACAACAGACGCAACCTGGTGCAGATCACGATAAGAAGAAGAAGAAAAAGAAGGACAAGTTAGTTTTTTACGATTTTAAACTCTTGTGTTTTTATTTTATGATAAGCATGTATATTGTTTATACAACGTGTATTGAAGTGTATAATTGTAACATCTTTATAATTTTTTAGGAAAAAGAAGAAAGAGTCAAAACGTAAGCGAAAGGAGCAAGAAAGAGAGGAAAAGAGAAAAGCAAAATTGGCACGCATGTCTAACAACTCAGAATATAATCTCCGGGATTTGGATAACATAGGCGATAAGAAATTACGTGATGCCATAAGGTATGTTCTTCTTCTATGTTTGTTATTGTATTTTTTGCATTATATAGATATATTTCTTCTTCTAAAATCTAATTCATTGTTAATATATGAGAAACTAATTGCAGGAAAGAATTGAAAGGAAAATCAAAGAGGGATCTAAGTTCAGAAGGAGAATATGAGAGAAAACACAGTGAGAAAAGGTAAATACCATAAAACTACAATAAATGTTTAAAAATTTTATATAATTTTTTTGTAACATAAAAAGAATAAATCATATAATAATGTCTTATTATAATAATATATCTTATCAGCCGCATACTGGACGAGATGCACGGCCTAGAGGAGCTTGAGTCCAAGTTAAGCGCTTACCACGTGATGGTAGAGAAGGAAGTACTAGGCAAGAGAGACCGTTCGTCGGTCAGTCCTATAGACCAAGCGCCGCCACCGCCCCTCGAGAAACCAAAATGGAAGATGTCAATGAATGCCGTTAAAGATCCGTGAGTCATTTTATTTTATTACTAGCGAGTCACCCTTGAAAATGATTGATTCCCTGTACAAACTTTCATCCTATTTTTCACCCCCTTAAGGGATGATTTTCAGAATAAAAACTCTTATGTCCTTCCCAAGGTCTCAAACTGTCTTTATACTAAATTTCATCTAAATCAGTTCAGTGGATTTTGAGTTTATCCATTACAAACATACAAAATACATTTTTTTTTCTTTATAATATTTTTATAGATAAATATAATTTTACTTAAGTTGTTCAATCAATTCAAAGTAATATTTATAATATGGGATTTGTTTGTGGTTTTTAATAGTATATTTTTTGCCAATAGTGTTAAGAAGAAAGACACTCCAGCACAAAAGGGATATAAGGAGCGCTATGCATTTGAAGATAGCTCTGATGATTCACAAGACCATACCAAGGTTAGTGTATTTTATATAAAATAATCAAATATTAATCTGCTATGGACAGCATAATTAATATACCTTGATGACATTTATGAAAGTTGTAATATTGGAAAACAGCTAGATGTTAATAAATTGTTAAAGAATGTTTGTGTGCTAACAGAATAGAATATGTGATTTTCTAAAATAGCTAAATATCTACTTACTCCTTGAAAATTATGTGATTGGCTTCACCACAACAGAAACTATCGAACTTCCATATAAAAAAATCCATACTTTTTATATATAAAAAAACATGGTATTGATAATATATATTTCTTAAATACTAATGCTTCAATGAAAATATCTAAATTCAATTTCAACGTACTAAAAGCGTTAGCTATAAAGAAGAAAGCAATTTTTTCTTAAATTACTAACAGTATTATTATCATACCAGCCTTCACCATCAAGCGGCGACAAGAATGTCTCAGTGCGGCGAGCGATGGCGATGAAGGAGCCACCACCGCTGCCGTCGGCGCCGCCGCCCAAGCCCGGCCGCGAGCCCGACCCGCCCGGCACCGAACCCACGCACCACCAGCCACACACCTCGCATGCACCGGTAATACGAGTTCATTCAACCCTTGTAATATCCCACTGCTGGGCCTAGACCAGTGAATCCCCTCAATATGAGGAATAGGTCATAGTCTATGACTCATAATATGCAACGCAAGTGCGAGTTGGCGGACTTCACTTTCTCGTCATCTTTCGAAAACTAGATAGGCTCTCTCAGACATACAGACTAACTGTGGTAATCATGTTAAAAATTATTGGGCTATGAAAATATCAGATGTGTGGGACCACCTGGGTTTTGGATCCTCACTTGGTTTTTTTAAGAGACTGCCTGTTATAATGGCACTGGTATATTAATTGCTATACTTCTAACATTATAAAGTATATCTATGCACCAAATGTCATAATATTTGAATTAAACAAAGATGATCATACAATAATTAATTTTACAGCCAGTGCGTAAGGGCAACATAGTACTGGACAAATTTGGTTCATTCCGTCTGGCCAAAGAGGGAGAGACCCCAGTGTCTGTGGGCGACGGTAGACCGGAGCAGTTCGTGACGCGCATCAAGCCGCCGACACCGTCCGGCAGGCGGCCGCGGTCACCGCCCTCGCCGCGGAGACACTCGTCCAACTCGTCTGATGAAGATAGACGTTCAGGAAAACGTTCTAGAAGCAGGTCAGTTGTTTATTTTGTTATAGAAGTTGTTTAGGAGTTATTGCAAGGGTTTCAAAGTTAAAGCAATGTAGAGCCATCAATTGACAAGTTTTAGTTAACCCTTCAACCGTAAAATAAATATGTCTGTCATATAAAAGAAAATATGCTAGTTGGGTGCGAAAGTTCCAAATCCTTCACGATTACTCGTCTAGACAACTGTCTGTGTGCATGAGTAGATACTAAACGGCTATTACGAAGAGTGTATGTATATGTTTCACATGCGCTAAACAATGGGGAGTGTGTATTATATTATTTTAATATTTCAGATCGATCCCGCGCAAGTACCGCGCGCGGTCCCGCTCGCGTTCGCGCTCGGGCTCCAGCGGCAGCGGGTCTCTGGCGTCGCGCCGCCGCCGTTCCGCATCGCCGCGCTCGCGCTCACGCTCCGACGCGAGCCGCTCCTGCTACTCGCGCAGCCGCTCGCGCTCGCGCTCGGTCTCTAGGGAACGGTGCGGGATTCATTGTTATTTATGTTCATTAAGCAACTGTGACAGAATACTATTTCTGAAAATAAAGTGTATATGTTGTAAACTACAATTACTTTTTTGGGTTCCGTACGCGAAGGGTGCCAACGGAACCCAATTACTAAGCCGCCGGTGTCCGTCCGTCCATCTGTCAGAGGGCTGTATCTCATGAAATGTAATAGGTAGAGAGTCGAAATTTTGACATTGTGTGTTCTTCTATTGTTGCTATAACAACAAATAATAAAAACCAAGATGGCGAATTTAAAAAACCTGCCATGCAGTTTAAAAAAAAATCGATTATGGTATGGGATGCCTTCCTCCTTATAGTCTCAGACCGACTCGCACTTTACCTATTTTTATTATTGTAATGTTTAAAACATTACAGAAAATACTGGACTGATTTTGTTTAATATCTTGTAATTAATTATGTCTAAGAACTATATAATACGCATTTCTATACATATAATGAAATTGTAACTAAGCGGAATCTGTGCATTAAATATTTAAATGTTTTTTTGAAAATCTTATTGAAATAGAGATTATTATCGATACAGAGGCCGATCTATAATTTTTAGAATTTTTGTCTATCTGTCTGTCTGTCTGTCTGTTACCACACCACGGAAAAACCACTGGAGTGATTTTGATGAAATTTGGTATGATGGTAGCTAGTTATCCGGGTCAACATATAGGATACTTTTTACAGTGGACTAATTTGTCTCATCTCTTTGAAATCTATACTAAACGTTAAAACGTAACTAGAAACAAACCCGAGTGGAGCGAGGGTGAGTTGCTAGTCTCGCTATAATACGAGAGTTGGAGATGAAAAATCCAAAAAGTAACATTGTGCTGAACAACAAAAAACTATTAATTTTCGTATGCATCATTTTAAAACTAAAAGTAGTACTTTAAAATTGTTATACGACAATATGATGAATGTATTATTAAAAATAATACTCAATATAAAAATAAATCTACAGAATGCGTCGCATGGGTCGACGGGGCAACTGGCGCGGCCGCGGGGGCTTCGAGCGTGGCACCTACTACCGGCCCCGCTTCCACACTTACAACGGCGGCGGGAACAGGGGCCGCGGCCGCGGCGGGGACTTCCGCAGGGACGACGGGAGGCGCTTCCAGCCCGAGTGGAGGGACAACAGGTCTCGAGGTGGCCGGCCGTTCAGACCCAGGCGTGGGGGTGGTGGACGTGGGAGACCGTTCAGGTAATTTGTTTTGCCAATACTCCTTAGGTAATATTTAAGGGAGGCCCGTGCCCAGCAGTGGGACGATAAAAAAAGGGCTGAATACAGATAAATAAAGATACAATACTCCTTAACAGAGAGAAAAGCATGATAATAAGCGAAAGAGAGAGTGAGCAATTAACGTTTTTTATTTTTTGTGTAGGAATAATTTTTACGAACCAGTTAATGAAAAAGCTTTATCTGGAATTGATATAGCTTTTCTAAATACATTAAATTTTCTAAATATTTCTAAATACATATATATAAAACAAAGTCGTGTTAGTTATACCATTTATAACTCACGAATAGCTGGACCAATTTTTATGATATTTTGGATTTCTCTTAGTCCAGAATAGGATAATAAGTATTAAAACATCAGAAAAATTAACGAAAAAAAAATTATATAACGCTGGCTAATAACTATTTATATCTATTTAAAACATACCTAGCGACGAACCCGATCGAAGCTAGAGTGAGCCGCTAGTTATTTATAAAAAATATTATTTCATTTTATAACTTAAGGGTTTATTTTAATATTTGTTGTGTATTAATAGGGGTGGATTCCGTGATTTCCGTGATAGACGCATGCCAAGATACTCCCGATCCAGGAGCCCTGACAGGACCCGCCGGTCAAGATCTTACAGCCCAGAGAGAAGAGACAAAGATAGAGATAGGTATGCTTCAATAATAATATTTAACTAACACATACATATATCTTTGAGTGAATTAGTTATTTATATAAATGAATAAAATACAGCAATAATACAGAAGAAAGTTTATATTTTTTTATAGTTTCTAACAAAATTATATTTTTTTGTGCACATACATATATTCATTCATAAACAATTTTATAGCTATTCACGCGACAGTCACCGCAGTGAGGGTGAATACGAAGAAGAAAGATACGTGGACCGCAAGGAGTATGACGGCAAGTGGGCGGACGGGAACGAGCCCGAGCGTAATCACACCGAGGAGAAACCAGAAGAACCACCTAAGGAGTAAACCTACCCTAATCACTCTTTCAATACCGTAATATATCACACAGTTTGTAGGTAAAGGTGGGGATGGATGGGCTTTTAATAGTGTGTAATAAGATATAAAATTAGCTGTAAATATAGATTAATCCCATTTAACCAATATGCAATTCTTGCTTAATTGTTTTCAAATCATCTTACTTTGATAAGTTCATGTACTGATGCAGTCTGATCTTATAACCATTCCACATTTAGAATGTAATTTCATTTTTAGTTACTCGATTGCGGTTTGTGTGTTACAAATTAAATGTATTTAAAATAAATTGTGTTTTTCTTTATTTATCACTACGTCAATGTCGTCATGGCCGCTAAATGGTGATAGGTATAATAAATATAATACGATTTATTAATCCTTGGATAGTAATTAAAAAAAATAATTACACATTTGTCCCGGCAATACTCCTGATATACTCATAATTAACACAGACTATACTAAACCAGTAACTGCCTAGGAACCTTATGAGTAGCCGGTTATTTTTCACCCCTCAATCTTCATGATCTTTAAAATAATTTAAAAAAAATCAGCAATTTGATATGGTGATAGCTGGTTATCCGGGTATAGGATACTTTTTACCAAAATGTCAAATGATGACGTTACATGAATCGATTTGTTAATAAATTTGTATTAAATTAGCAAAAGTTAAAAAAATAGATCCTACTAAGGTGTATAATTATTTGAAAAAATATTCCAAGTGAAACGAAATAATGCGTCTGTAAATCAAATTGCGTAATTTTACTATTGAAATATCAGCAATCTAATGACGAGTTTGTAGTGTGCATTCACAGATGGCGCTTTTCCTTTTTATGAAATGACACGATTAAAAATTGTTAAAATTACTGTTTTTTTTTTATTTGAATGCAGGATAAATTTTATAATATTTGCCGTACATTACTTTGCACATATTTATGAAATAAACAGTTTAACTATTATCTATTCAAGCAAACAAAAATAGCCCTAAGTAGAGCTCTCCAATTTCTTTGTATGGGACGAGGAGGCTTCTATACTAGTATAAAGACCATATTAGAATGCGTTTTTTTAACGTAAAGCCAATATGATAGTGTTCTGTTAGTGAAGTCATTGGAAACAAAAATATGATAAATAGTTGCCCATAAATAATAATTTATTCCAACATACACATAAAAAAACTTAAAACCATAATAACCATATTAATAATAATTGGTACTATGTGCGCTTCTTCTTTTTCTTATTTTTATTTTTGTTAGTCTTGTCAACATTCCAGTACCAGAAGAGTTGCAAGACTAAAGCTCCATTAGCAATTGTTGATACACAATATGTAACTATTATAATGAAGTCACCAGTCTCTTGAATAGAAGTGAATATTCTAGCTATACTGCCCACAAACAGAAGCAGGCAGGTTACTGCAGATAGTTGCCCTGTACTACCACTTCTGTAGTTTGTAATGACTTGAATTGACTGAAAAAGACAATTTGAATAACATTAAAATAATAACAATGAATTAAAAACCAACAGAAGTACAATGTTAGAAAATATTACTATAAAAACATTAATTACAGTTTTGCTTTGCAAAAACTATGATAGATGAGAACCATTAGTATATAACTAATACTATATATACCTTAGCTGCAACTATAATAGGAACATTGGTTGCTTGCATTGTCCACAATATATCCTTAGGGGTGAATCCACTCACAAGAACAGACACAAGTCCTGCATAAACAGCAAGAAATAGTGAAGCTTTTGCAGGTGATCCCCCATAATGTAATACCAATGCAGCAATTATAGCTGTCTGAATTGCTAAAAATGTTCCATCACCCCAGGCACTGTAAAAACATAAAATCTTATAACATAAGTCTATATTGTATAATATGTAGATATATTTCCTTAGGTAAATATTCTATATAAAACTTACCTAAATGGGAAGTTCATAACATAACTATAGGAAAAATTTGCAGTGATTGCAAATAGCTCCAAGTAAACTCCATAGATGTTAATACCTTCGGCACTCTTACTGCCCAGGATTTTTAAAATTTGTGGAACTTTCACCAATATAGAGCCAGCAATAATCCCGATGCCGAGACCTTTACTCAATGTAGATTTAAAACAAGGTACTGTAAAGAAATAAATAATGTACGATAAATAGCTGTTAGATGTTTCAATGAAACTGTTGTCAATAGGCTTACCGTCAAGGAAGTTGTATTTGAAGAAATATTCCTCGTAACATTTTTCCGATAAAACGGAAAGTATTACACCTTTTAAGAATTCTGTCATTATAACAGGTAGTCGTTTATATAATTATTATAATATGTCCTGCATCGATAGTGATTACTTAAAGATTAATACTACAACTCCCGAAGTTGCATTGACTTAAACTTTATATTGGTAAATCGTTTTGAACTTTGATGCCTCACGTACCGAGTACCGAACTATTCAATATTAGACAATTATCAATTAAAGTTATTACAGAGTATTGCTAGCGCAGTATAGAAAATTCCTCACATATGGCTATTTTGTTTTAGAACGTACGTTTTGTACATTTGTAAAAATGACAATTATAATGCAAAAACATATCGAAATTACTTTGCTCGTATCATTATTACCACTTTCATTATTTGAAGCTTATTTTTCTATTCTTGCATTTATTATTAAACAACCTTAAAACAAGGAAATATATTTGCTGGCAGCACTGATATGATATGTAATCAACATGACGTTGACCCTTGACGTGGAGAATGTTCTGTTTAGAAATTTATAATAATAAAAATAAATTCTGTTTAGAATTTTATATTATGCTAAATGTATATTGATTAATTTTAAAACAGCTATCACTAAATCTTCTTTATTAAAAGAACTAGAATTAGTTTATAATAATTAAACTTTCTATTTAAAGAAATGACTTGAGGTTCAAGTAAACTCAATATTAAGCTCCACTTTACACTTGGAACTTTATTATCAATCAAATATACAACTATTATTACTTTCAAAATATCAAGGAAACTTATAGGAACCAACGATATTTTCAAAATTTTGATTTGTAAAAATGAAATGATATCTTTAATTCAGTTTTTTCTTCGTCCTGTAAACTATGCAGAATGGCGCTTAGCAGGTTAACGAATTAGGCGGACGATATAACATTCTCTGAGAAATGTTCGAACCTCATACAATTTGATTACTTGGATACTTTAAGACGATTTACTGTATTGTACATATTATGTTAATTGTACAGTACATAGCAACTCTAGTAACTGCCTCAGTGGTCTAGTGGCCAACATATACAGCTGCAGATGCTGAGGTCCTGGGTTCGACTCTCTGTTAAGATATTTACAGTAGTAACCCGGAGTTGAGAAGTTGGTGGTGTTGCACCACCGTGCCTCGGAGAGCACGTGTCGCTTCGGTCTGCGCCTCAACTCTCACCGGTCGTTTCGAAATATCGTGCAATCGAATTTTTAGTCAGGAATAGAGAGTGCATTTGTTTTCCTGCGCAGTTGGCTAGTCTCAGTGATGGCCGCCATAGCCGAAATCGGAATTATTTTTATACATTACTAAAAGCACTGTTTGTGAAATAAAATCAACAATTTGATTATCTATTTTATTTAATGTTTGTTCTTCCGTAATAAAATGATCTTGTGCTTGACGTGACAATAAAAATACATACATATGGACAATAAAAACTGTTCACTTATCACGTTGTTTGTGAACAAGATGTTACTTAAACACACAACTATTTTATATATAAAGTATCTATTATTTCTGTTTATTTTTTATCTGGTTATGTCTTGCTTCTTACTGTTATTTATTCTTTCTTCAAAATTATTACATAATAAAATAAAAATTACAAGTAAATGAGCAATGAAAATATTTACATAAATGGTGGAAGTTTCCTTGCCTAAAAGTTTAATTAAATATTCTTACATGAATATAATGACAAACAGCAAACATGCCAAGCTAAAAGCAGCTAAACAAACAAATCCACATGCATTCCCACGCTAAGCAAGTTCCTTTCAGTACTGTTGACACAAGAAACCGGAGTCCTGGAATACTTTGCAGACACAACTTTTTTACAATAATATAAATTTTAAAAGAACAAGTGTTGAGTTTCTTGCCAGCTATTATCAGGACTTGGAATATTGGCTTTTAAATTAAATGTAAATATTGACGGTACAAAAGTGCTTCTTAGTCTTATTAGAATAATACATATCATTATTATTATATTCTAATTTGTTTTTCTTAAAGATGTTTGCTGGTCATTATACATATACATTATAAAACCTATCCTATTTTATATATATATTTTAAGAACTTAAAATGCAAAAAAAAATACATCAAAAATGGTGCGATTATCTGTAAATAAATTTTAGTAGTGACAATGCTAGACTTAGTAGTTAGTACTTATTTGTTTTTATAAGTTTAATATTTGATAAAAATCGATACCTTAATTGGCAAGTAGTCTAACTCATTCTTTCAATTATACATATTATGAATTCAGTAAAATAAAATTGTATTTGTTTAATAATGATATTTTTAAATAATTTAGAATTTTATGTTTTCTGAATTCGTAATATTATTTACATGATGACGTTTTAGTGCCCACTGAAAATTACACTGAAACGGAGTTAACGATTTGAAAATTAAGGTATCAAAATGTGAATATCGCAACAATTCTAAATCTACATAACAATGATTCCTGTCTTTATTATTACAAATTACTATTGCTTAGTTATATCTAAATGTAAGATTTTGCTAAAATTTAACAGTTCTTGCTACAAAATCTAAGGCCTCGCTTTATCTCTATAATTTCATAGGCAGTGTGTGATAAATATTGCTGAAGGTTATTTATGGGTAAATAGTTATAACCGTAAAAGGTGATTAAGGTGTTTGTATTGATTTTTGGGAAGCCATTAAAATATTTTTGCTACAATTACTTAAATAAGAATTAACATAATGTTTAGGAAGTTGTCAATAAATTTCTATCAATTAAGTTAATTTCTGAAGAAAATATAACTACTTTTTTATTCTCAATTTCCAAATCTGGCCAATATAATTCAAAATGAGGCCCAAAGATATCATAAATCAGAAATATTTTAAGAATTATTATTAAGCTTAATTGTTTTGTTAATTTAATTTGTTTGGTTTTAGTTGTTCTAAATTTAAATAAGAATTTTGATTGGTAGCACATACATATGGAGCTTATGGACAAGTTTATGTTTAACGGACGGATTTTAATATTACTTTGATTATTTTTCTTCTACCATTTCTTAATCTTTTTAATTTTACTTCCAATATTTATAAATGTCAATTATATAAAACACTAAGTAGAAAGTAGTACGAAAAATAAAGTCCTAAATTTTGCAGACACAATATTATAGAAGAACAATGTAGTATTTATACAGGGCAGGATATCTCAAAAGAAAGTTTATATTTGTTTAGTTTACTGCGTGAACGCATCGGATAGGTGGCGTGGTGTATAATTTTTTAGAAATTCCCAAATTGTGTACCTTAATAATTAATAAACATTTTATCAATAAAGAACTTACTCCACTTACTACTATTTTTTAATCGCTCCAACAAATGTAAACTTTCTTTTGGGACCTTGTATTTATAATATGAAAAAAGTGCTAAGTCATAATAAATAGACTAATTTGTAACATTTAAATCTTATCAAATACATACATGCCACGTCTTACCTAGGGTTTGAGTTTCTGAAAGTTAATGAAACTTACAATACATTTTGTAGGACTAGATCTAATTTGTAATCTTTTTACTTTTATAACAATTTATAATATCATCACATTAGTAATACAATGAATTAAATTTTCATTTCCTTAACTCCTGAATTAAGCTTCAGAAAAAAAACATTTTGAAAATATTTAAAGCAGTAGAATATAAAATATATAATATTATGTTTATTTCACAATTTGAAATACTTAAATTGAATACCAATAACATGAAAAAAATTGATAAATAAACCACAAATATCAAACCCTAGTTCTGACACTAATTATTATACTTAAGCATGACGAAATCACCATATACTCAAGTAATGTTAATCCTCAAAGTGGTTTTAAAGAGAAAGATAATTTGGGCCTTGAATTATTTTTCCCTAAAATTTTCTTTTGTTCTTCTTTAACTCTTCTCTCTTGTTCTTTTTTCAACTTTTGTCTTTCTTCATCCATTTTTCGTTGTTCTTCAATCATGGCTAATCTTTCTTCCGCCTGAAAAAAAAAAATTACATTTAATAATGGCCTCAGCAAAATAGTAGCACTGTTTTGCAAATAAAATAATGAATTAAAAGTAATACCAACATATTATAAAATTATTGTACTTACCAGCTTACGCTGAGCTTCTTCAATTTTTCTATTATTTTCAGCCATTATTTCCTCCAGCTCTTTCCTTTTACGAGCTTCTTCCTCCTGTATGATAAAAATATCACATTAATACAATTTCCATCACATAAATTATAAATAACAAATTTATTCATTAATATTTTCATTCATTTGATCTATAAAATATATACATATACAACATGTATTTATTAAATATTATGTTTTTTTCATTTGTACCTATAATTTTGGTCCTAAACATATTTTAAAAAATTCATAGTTCATTACTTGTTATAGAATATACATCACTTAGCTCTTTCCTATAAGCCCCAGAGTATCATCTAACCTGATATATAAATCCTATGTAAAACATAAAAGGTATTGTTATACAAAAAATAGTTTCAAAAAATACCTTCAGCTGCCACGGCCGGATCCTCAAGCAGCAACTCCTTAAAACTCTTTAAGTCTTCCGGCTCTTGATCTTCCGACCTGACTTATACACTACGTGACTGCCAAGGACAGTCAAGTGAACAATTTTAAAATGCTAGCCATATTTATGGCATTTACCATTAAAAATAAAAAATGAGTCAGCCTTGTAGGTGCAAATGACATGCATGTTGTTATTATGGAAAAACATTTACACTGTCTCAATGAGTGAAATTAAGAATTCAATTAAAAATTCTTGTAATAACTCGAACTACACCTGACTGGACCTTTAACAGATATGATCGAAAGAATACTTTTATTAGTTTCTTATACATTGTTGGTATAATAAACATTTAACATTATAAGCAGCATGTGTATTGGAGAACAAGTTCGTTCTTTTTGTAATAGGGGTGTCAAATGTAAGAGCAAAATTATTTATTGCTTTTACAGATGACTGGGGATTACAAATCATAGTTACCTGTCTAGCTAGCTCCTCTTGCCGTTGTTGTTCCTTCTGCCTTTCCAGTTCTTCCATCATCTCTTTCTCCATCTTTTTCTTAGCTTCTTCTACTCGTTTAGCTACTTCTTGTTCTATTTCATCTTTTCGCTTTTCAAGTTCTTCTTCAACTTTCTTCTTCACAAGTAATTCTATTCTCTTAGCAGCTTCCTCTTCAACAACCTACAATGTTTTATTCATTAATAATTTTATATAAATAAACTTGTGCTAAAACAGAAACCATTATATGGTGGACATTTGTGGTTTTAGGGATCAATTGGCGTAGTGTAGTTTATTATTCTGAATGAATTACATACTTACCTAACCTCATCCTATATCAAATAGATTGTTTTATTGTTAGATTAACTAAACTTTTAATTTATAATATTTATAAGCTATGACTGTTATGAATTGGAAAAACTATTTGCAACTAGCTAAAAAACTTATCAAGGTTTCTTTTTCTTTTGTAAGAACTAGTTTAGTAGTAGTCAGACACGAATTTAAGCCTAATTACCTTTTGTTCAGCTTCCCTAACTCTTCTTTGTCTTTCCATTTCTGCTAGTCGATCTACTTCATCCATTTTACTGCGTCCTTTCGATTTTTTTCTAATATTCCTGCTACCGTCATAAGACCCGCCACTGCTGGATGTTGAAGATACTGAATGTGATCTTTTCCTGCAAATATTATGCTATTTACTATAGTTACACTTGTATAACCTATACATATTTTTTATATTATTAAGACCCCTACCGTGATTTAGAACTTCGTTCTCTAGATTTCTCGACATGTTTGGAACTTCTACTTCGCGAGGATGAGCGATCTTTGGAGCGACTCTTCTTTCTTGAATGTTTACTACTTTTGTGATGCCGCCTTGGGCTTTTACTTCGAGATCTCGAGCGACCCATTATAGGCAAAAGTTTTAATCACTAAATTTGTTTCAAACGAAAAAAATCTAATTTGTCTAGAAATCTGGTAATGCCTCTATCACTGATGAACGCACAGATTACGGAGACTACGATGAACGCATTTCATTTTCTTAATATTTGTCATCCATGTTCTTAATCTATGGCTTATGGCATTGGCACGGCATAAGCTGGAAGTTTTTGATAGTCGTACCATAAAATATAATAAGAAAAGTAAAGTAATAATTTTTAATAAAATTTGGTAAAGCTGGTATATTGAGAGTAATATATCAAAAATACCTACCTATTATAAATATTTAATTGAATCGTAATATGAAAATTTCTCGCACCAAATATTTGATTTTAAAAATATCACGTTGTTTTGCAGTTTATCTTTTTTTAATGTATATACATTAGACTAAAGCACAAACTATAGAGAGATGCTACGCATGTATTTAATCAGAAATAACTCAAATAACTATTAAAAATAATATTATAAATTAATTACTAGTTGCCAGGGCATTATTATCAGCTGTACAGTATTTTAATGAAAACTGCAAATTGTCATGTGATGCGACTGAAAACAATTAATGAGCAATTTTTTTAAGCTAGTGGTTTGATTTATTCATTACTAAACATATTGAATTTAAAACATTTATGCGATTGGAACTTAACTACTTAACCAAATTCTTTGGTTTTACATATTAGTATACTCTTACATTGCAGTTTTTGTATTTTTTCTCAGAAGTGAGACATTTTCCCGCGGTAAAACGTTTCCTATATGTTGACCCGGATAACCAACTATCACCATACGAAATTTTATCAAAATCCCTTCAGTGGTTTTTCTGTGATGCGGTAACAGACAGGTAGACAGAAAAAAATTCTAAAAACTATAGATTCGGCCTCTGTATCGATAATAATGTTTATTTCAAGAAGATTTTCCAAAAAATATATTTAAAGTACAGATTTGGCTTAGTTACAATTTTATTATATGTATAGATTATATTTATATTTTAACTAATTTGTATTCTTGTAACGTAAACTTTTGAAACTACAAAGTTAATAGGTATAATTACACATGAGTTAGTATTATAACGGAACAAAGCTAAGAAACTTAAGCTTACAAAGCTCAAAGATAGAACAACAATACATAGGTTACAGGAATTCACATACGCATTGTCCGTTGCAAACACGATTTTTTCCGCCTTGAACTGCTGACAAATCTTCTCAAAAGAAAACGAGCATTTCATCCTATCATTACAATTTATAACCTAATGTTACATGGTTGTTTACAGTTTTGATTTTGTAGGAATACTTACTCATGTGGTATTGTCACCAAAGTTCGACAAGTTTATCTAATTCTTTTAATATAAGATGACAAACTAAACGTTTCAGGCATTACGAAGAAATAAAGTATTTTTTCAAATGTATATTATTTAATACACGAGCAATTGAAATATAATTAATAAAACATCCCATACTCTTTTTCCTTTTTATTGATAAACGGAATTATTTTTGAAGTAGCCTCAGCCTGAAGTACTCGTAAGTCAGGGAATATTTTACAATTATGATTATCAGATATTTTTGTCACTTGCAACATTTCTTTTAATAAAATATTTGTATCGAATTTTTCAGTTGAGTCTAGTTTTATACAACTACCTTTTCCTTGTGGTCCATCATCTAACTTACTAAATACAAAAGGCTTGTCGACATAACACTTCTTTAACAAAGACCTGATATCAGTCACGCTTTGGACATGTTGGATTGGATTGGAAATTGTATATGAAGATGAAAACGATTCAGAATTTTCTTTTATTGTACCATTTGGACTACGTTCTTCTAATGACACTTTATCTAACTCTTCTATGTGAGAATTATCCATAACTTTCTCTTTGACGTTATGATTTCTCTTTGTTTTTTTCATTGTTTCGACGCCATCGTAAAACTGCTTTATTTTATATAAAGCTGCTTTAATGTCACTTTCTTTATCTATATTGATGTCATCATAGGATTCTTCAACTTCAACATTTCCCTTGTAGAAATAGTCAAGAGGCAAGGAAAAACCACGAATTGCTAATTCAGATGAAGCAATAAAACGTGGTAGAGTTATGGGCTGTTGGTAAATACGCTCGAATTTTCCGGTGCATGCGCTCGAATTATTAGCGTAGTCAATGACAACTGTAAAAGATATATATTTTGTATAAGTGTATACTATAATACTATATTCATAAATTGTGAAATAAACTTATTTTTTTAATTATGGTAAATAAATTTTTATCTTTCATAAGATTTAACCTTTTATAATATCAGATATAACCGCTGGACAGATTTTGGCAGTAACTTGAGTAGTGTGGTTTAAATCTGGACAGGAATTAATTTCAATTAGCCAGGGATTGTATTCCTTGTCCAAAATAAAATCGCAACCATACAATTCGAAACGATTTTTGCTCACACTTAAAAAATCTTGACAACTTAACATCGTGCCCACTATCGTTTTTTTCATTCCTGGATATATTATTTCATCCCAAACGTTATCTTTCCCAATATTCTTCAAATAAACTTTGTATTTATCTAAGCTCCACATATTTTGTATCGGCAATTCAGAATGTCTTCCTTCACAATTTTTGTATTTTCTTTGAATTGCATTATTGGTTAAGTGAATTGACTCGTCATATTTTCTTAAACTATACTTCTGCGAGCTAAATTTTAAATAGCAATCTTTGTACATCCAGATTATTAAAGGGTATGTACTTGTGACTAGATAATATTGCCTTATATCAAATTTTGTCTCATATATCAACAATGGCTCCTCTGAAAGTTAAATCTTACTTATTATCAAACAGACAAATATTAAAAAATCTTAAAGACAATCAAAATAAATTTAAAATATACCTACCAATGTATTTTTGAATTACATATTTCATATTGGATTTATCTAATAAGCTTATAATTGCTCCTAATTTTGAAGCTATCTTAATACCTCTTCCTCTTGAACAAAATGCAGGTTTTATTATCCAAATATTATGACAACCTTCGCAGCTCAATTGTGGGCGATACTTGTGAATTTCTTTAAGCAAATATCTGGCATAGCTCAAATATAAGGGCATCTTGTTCATTTTATCTGTTAAAAATATTTCATCCTTTGCTATTATACTGTAGTATTTTTTCAAAAATGAGTTCCACTGGCCCGGGCTCACAGAAGATATCGAACAATCAATATCTTTATTTTGCTTTCGATACAAATATTCTTTACATCTATTTATTGCAAAAACCATTACAGTCATAGGAGTCTTGCCCGAATCAGAAAATATTTGCCGGTCACTTGTGATCATCGATAGAATCCATTTTAACAAACTTGTACAAGCAGTTATTTTATAATCTTTAACAAATGCTTGTATTTCACCACAATCTGACGTACTATAGGATCGAGGACCATTAACTTCTGCGACGTTTTCAATATAAAACCAACAATTTCTTTTCAATACAGAACATAAGCCGTGTTTAGAGGTCCACATTGCATCTATTTCTAATTTATTTATTATCACATTACGTTCTTTTGTCATATCTATTGTAGTATTCCCACGTTGATCTTTAGTGCGCCATATAAAATTTGGACTACATTTTTCTAAAAGATTAGATAAAAGTAGACTCTCGAGCTCACTTTGTATTTTAGATTTACTTGAAAATTTTCCACTTCGAATTTTCGATAGGTTCATTCGATTTGGCGGATTTTTTTCAACCCAACCCCTGTCTAATAGAGCTTTTCTTACAGCATTGCAATTGCCGTATATAGAAAATATTTTATTTTCTCTGGCAGCAGTAGCCGCTAATTTTTTAAGTTTTACATATCTTGTTAATTTATTTTGACAACTGCTTATTACATAGCTTTTTTCTTTTCGCGAAAGACCTTTATCGAAATGATTAGTTTGATGGATCTTTACATTCAACTTCTCTTTGTTTACTGTTCGTGTGGAAGTAAATCTAGTAAATGGAGAAAAAAGACTTTTTACCCCTGTTTTATCATAATTTTGATTCTGTAAGAATATAACTCTGCATTAATAAATTAATACTTACAGTAACAACTTAGGTAACTTCCTTAGATTTAAGAATAAATATTAAAAAAAAAATCGATTTATTATAGTCTCTCCCGTGACTCATGTTTGCTGTAAAGCATTCGAAACGTCAGAAGCCAAAATAAAATCGAGAAAAATCTGAAGAAATAGTTTATTTAAAACAATAATGCATTAGAAAATTTAAGTTTTGATGTATGGATAGATTAGGAGCACAGAAATCTTAATAATAAGGTAAATTTCTGTGATTAGGAGGTAAACCATAAATTTATTAATAAATTTCTCGCTTAGTGATATTCAATTATATTATAATATTTGGTAGTCATTTAGTGATATTTTCAGACAAAACGATGTGTTAAAAGTTCTAAGCACATGGGTCAAAGATTTTTTATATTCTAAATAACTTTATAAGATTTAAAATATTTACTTCAATAGTAGGAACCAGAAAAGCCGCACTAAAATTTGCGTAGGTATATCGTGGGTAGGTGTTTATTAGTTACTAGCTATTTACCCTCGCTTCGGTTGGGTTTGTACTATTCTATGTCCTTCCCAGGGTCTCAATCTAGCTTCTTACCAAATTTCATCTAAATCGGTTCAGTAGTTCCAGAGATTACTTCCTACAAACAAACAAAACAAACTTTTCCTCTTTACAATATAAGTATAATTTTAGTTGCAAAATGTAAAAATTTCCTTTAGAATAAAAAAATGTAAGATAATACATAGTAAGTTCATAGTTTACTCACTCTTTTCCGTTTAAAAACTTTTTTCTTTCTATATGGCATTGTCTCCTTAGTACAAATACGTACATCCTCAATAAACTTTAGTCTATTGCAGACAATACATTAAAAAAAAAAAAATTAAATTGAATTAAAACATGTATGAAGAGTTTGAACTAGAGCTTAAGCTCAAAACATATTATACCAGAAACTTAAACATTTATCAGAGTTACATTATGTACGTACACCTACCTTATTTTTATGCGCAATATTTTCCATGTTTTTAATTATTTTTTTATTAAAAATTACCTATTTACATTTTGATTTTACTCATTCATCTTTCTTTTTGGAGACATAAATTTTGAAATATGTCAGTTTAAGAAAAACTAATAAACATTTATTATGGTTGCCAGTAACAACAGTAGGTAACAGAGTTGGATTTGGAAATCAGGATTTCAAAGGTCATAGGTATCTGAAATATTGGAAAATAATTACTTAATAATTAATATAAAATACATAAAATTTATTAATAAACATAGACTTTGAAAAGATTAACATGTAGGTAATGAAAAATAACAGTTATAAATAATTTTGAAGCCTAAATTTTCGAAACAACAATTTTAATAATATGAATAACAAAAATAGTTTGAATACTTTTAAGTAATTTTGAGATAGCTACATGGTAGTTTTAGTATTAAGGTACAAGTTTTTATGGTCATCTTTAAGTGGAGTAACAGTAACTCGATATGGTGTGTATATAGAAGTACAACTTTTCGAAAATGAAATTGTTTTCTTAGTTGCACTTTCATCTCGCAACTTACAAATACTTCTACCGATTGCACTTAACTTCTTAATAGTATTTTCATTATCAACACAGCTACGCGAACTTAAAGGTTCTAATATAGATTTATGATGTGCGGTAATGATTTCTGATTTAGTTTGCCGAATAATTGGTACTACAGTTTCTGTTCGAGCTGACATTTTATTTTGAACAGATATTGTAGAGCGTAAAATACTAGCCGTTTCTCGTTCCCATTCAATAGGGTCTATGTAGCATCGCTTGTTACCAACAGAACGATCAATTTTGGGTTTTTGAGATTTGCTGGCAGATTCTGTTCGATATTTACCGGCGTGATTGACGGCTTGGTAGTCTTCTGGTCGACAACAGGAATGTGGGATAATTCGACGTTTAGGTTCTGCGTTTTTTCTTCGATGAGTCCTAGAAGAGAGCGCGGATGTTTTACGCTTTTTACAGTTCTTAAGGGTTTGACTCGATTTTACAGCTGCAACAGCTTGACGTACCGTAAGGGACTCTTTAGGGCCTAACAATAAACCGTCTTTGTTTATTGGCAAAGAATCGTAAGGGTTTAACCATGTCAGGAAATCCGTTATTATAGGGCCGTTATATTCTGGAGGTTGCTCAGCATCTGGAAGAGCATCGCCAGAAGATACACGCGGCGCTAATGGAGTGATGTTTTTTGATTCGTGTTTACGATCCCTTGTCTTCTTAACAAGACGTTTTCCGTTAATGCATAGTGATAATCCTAGGTAAGCTGGGGCCTTTGGTATAACTTGTCGATAAGCTAATTCGAAGGTTCCAGTATCAGCATCGGAATTATGACGCCTGTCGAGTACAACTGTAAAAAAAAATTATAGATATTTATTTGTATAATAGGAGAAATCTATACATATAATAAAATTGTAACTAAGTCGAATCTGTACATTAAATATTTTTTGGAAAATCTAATTGAAAAAATACAAAATCTGCAATGTAACAGTATACTAATATGTAAAACCTAAAAATTTGGTTTTTGGTCATCTAAACGCGGGCGGAGCCGCGTGCAATGCTAGTATATAAATAAAATTTCCGCTTATTTTACTTCAGCTAATGAAAATAGTATTTTAACGCACCTTTTATGACGTCTTCAAGGCATTGTGGACATAATCTAGCAGTAACTGATGTCGTCGGTGCCAAGTCTGGACTAGAGTTAATTTCTATGAGCCAAGGCGTAAAATCTTCAGTCAACATAAAATCAGCACCATATAATTCAAAACTATTTTGCCTTTTATCCATCGTTTCTTGACAAGCCAACATAGCTCCAATCAAACACTGTTTCATTCCCGGATAAATTTTTGTATCCCATAAATCATATTTTCCTATCTGTCTTCACATATCAAATAAATTGTTGTTAGATTAATTAAGCATCTATTTGTAAATTAAAATTGATTCCCATACCAAAATAAACAGTTCTGTACTTTTCGATTTCCCAGCTGTGTTTTTTTTTGGATTACCCTATTTTTTTATACTTAATCCCACCTTGACACACACTCCCAACAAAATAAAAAAAAAAGAATTATTCAAATACAAATCGGTCCAACCGTTTTTGAGTTTTAGCGGGACTAACGAACGGTAATTGATTTTTTATATAGATATACTGTTTTTATATGATTGCTATATACTTAAATTCATGTAGCGAATTTAGCTTCATATTACGACTATTTTTTTATTTTAACAAACTATTTATCGTTAACGGTGAATAAAGTTATGTACCTACATAACTTTATACATGAACTTATCTACCTATATACGTATACATGAAGTTATCTACCTACATAACTTTATACATAACAGGTATCTACCTGCGCTGATCTGAAGTGTTTGTAATAGGAATATGGCGTATTTAAAAATCCTAAAATATGTATTATGTATACATATATAGATTTACCTTAGGTAAGCCTTAAACGTATGACAATCCCACATGTTCTCATCTGGCAATGCTTTATCTCGATCCCCATTGTTTTTATACTTCGTTTGAACGGCATTATTTGTAAGATGCACAGATTCATGATAGTTCGACAAGCTAAATATTTGCGAACTAAACCGCAAATAACTGTCCCTATAATTATACGTTAATTTAATTTAACACACCGTTACTCCTGATGCCTACTTATATTTTAGAAATGTCTTACTTATATAACCAGATCGTTAGAGGTTGGCAATTTGTAATTAAAAACCACTGTCGAATATCGAATTTTGTATCATAAATTATTAAAGGATTCTCTGGAAAAGAACAGATTTATCAATAATATGTAGATGCATGTAGATGTTAGAGTAAAATTATACGCTATGTGTACCAATATACTTCTGCACTACATATCTAGTTTTTTGCGCTGGAATATTTATTAGGCCCACGATATCTTTGATGTTGTTCATTAATTGGATGCCTTTCCCGCGACACTTGTTTCCTGGTTTAACGATCCATATGTTAAAAACTCCATCGATGTCTATCTGTGGCCAAAATTTTGTCATTGTAGCTAAGATTTTTGCAGCTTTTCGTTCCAATTGTCTAGAATGAAATTTTAATTTTTTATTCAATAATTTTTAATCAACTTTAAGTGGATTTTCGATACGCGTACGATAAGACAAGACAAAGTAATTATACGAATTCCAAATATTTGCATATGTCTCTATGGATAAAAGAAATGATAATAGGTATTCAATGGTTCTCATATATGACGCTCTTGATAAATGTGATCTAAATACGCCTATTAGGTATTTTGTTAATTAGTTTCCAGCATAATTATCATATAAATAAATACACTACTAACAATCTCACCTTAGACTTGTATTTTTATCTTCTAAAAACTTAGAGTTTTCGTGTACTAGTAAATAATGATGAGTTAGAAATAAATCCCATTCGTGTTCCCAAATATGCTGCGTTTGATCCTCAGTATCATCAATATCTTTATGGGTAAAGAAAGAAATATATTCGTTTAAACGACTTATCGCGAAATCAATAGAACTAAACGGTATTTTTCCATTATTTGAGATCAAGCTTTGTTCATTGTTATCTTGTAAAGAAATAGATAGCCATTTCAGAATGCTTATGCAAGCTGTTATTCTAAAATCATCAATAAATTCCTCTAAGCTATCAGTGCTGTGGATATTATAACAACGTGGAAATTTAGTGAACGCTACACCTGGTTCCGTGTACCAATGCATCTGGGTTAGAGACGATGTTAAACCTTCTTTAGTAGTAAAAGTTGATCTGCAAAACCTGAACACCACATAAAGTTAAATTGAAAAAATAAATTTAATAACATTTGCTATAATTATCTTATAATTTTACCTGCTAATTATAACTTCTTTATTACTTAGCAACCAATCGTATTTGTCTCGCTTCGTTGTCCATAAAAAGTCAACAGAGTGGTGCTCCATAAATTTATAAAGGATCATTCGTTCCACCTTAGTTAGTTCTTTTCCTGAGGCTTTTTTAGGATCTACATTTGAAGGTGGATGACGAACCTTAAAATATTTGATATTATTAAAATCTTTACTCAGTGTGCCTACATGAAATATAAAAAAACTTGCATTTAGCTTTTATCCCATACCTATCCTCTTGCTGTACCAATATAAAATTTTAGTTTTTATTAGTTTTCATAATTTTAATAAATTCGCATACAGTAAACAAATTCTAATTACTCGTTAGAAGTAACGAACTAATTTAACAAAAGTACCTACCAGTACCTACCTACTGAATTAAAGGAACAAACTCGAAGTTTTTATTTTTCTACTTATCGCGATGGTTATAGGAAAATTTCATTCTGATTGCTATGATTTTTTTTAAATTAATATCAAGATTCTATCGAGTGTCATTGATACTACCTTATGTGACTCATACTTCTCGACCCAGCCTCTTTCAAGAAGCGCCCGTCGCACAGCGGGGAAGCCACCCCCTTTTATCATAAATACTTTTCGTTCTTTCATCGCAGTTTCCGCTATTTTCTTCAACTCATTCCATCTTTCGTTACTCACCCAGCTTTTATATTGTTTTAGCTGTTCTAATGATGTAGAAGCTTCAGCTTAAATTAACAGCGTTTTCAAATTATTGAAAGATATTAACAATTGTACAGATATATACGAATATTATGATAGGTCTATGAATTTAAAAAATATTTAATATAATGTAACATAACTGTATTTTAATGGAACGAAAAGTGCTAGATTTTGAATATTTAACTATTAGGTAATTACCCAATAAAATATAAATATCATGTAGTATAAAAACGATATTTTGTTAGCTATATTTTTGTACTTATGGGCAGATCTTTTAGTCTAACTTTGTTTAAGTTTACGAATATGATACGCAATTCATCAAAAAAAAAATAATGCAGTCAATATACACTCAGCAATAATTGTACACCTGGTCCATGTTCAGATTTGGAAAAAGAAACTGCACTTGATGGCCGCAACTCTTTCTTTACTAAGCTTTCTTTATGGAGCTTAGAATCTGATGCACTTTCTTCTAATTCCATTGTTATAGCCATGAGAATACCTTGTTGTAGCCCAAAAACCTGTGGAGAAATGCACCAGATGCAAACAACATTTTTAAAATATTTTATCGATACGTGTAAACTATTCACGTTTCAATGATGAACTGGATCCGATTATGTCAGTAGGTAGTGCAGTAACCTACTTTATTTTAACCTAGTTTAGGAGTCCCTGAATATCATGAAGGTACCCGCGCACCTTCGCGCCTGGCACAGTATCAGTGACGTCACTAACTTAACTGGTGCCTCAATATCTTTTACAATGAATGCCGAAATTAAACACAAATTATCGTTACCCCCTTTAAGAATCAGAATAACTATAATTTCGAAACTAGGTCAATATGCACATAAAATTTAAGTAAAATACAAATACAAATCTACATTATTAATTACAAATTCAATAACATAATATATAGGTAAACCATTGACACGGCCGTTATTGATAATATGTGTATGATTTGACAAAATTGTTATCAATGACATGTAAAAATATAATATTTATTGTAGAGTGATGGTCAAGGAGGTACCATTTTTATATAATAAAACCATATTTAATTTAATCCTTGAAGTATGTACCATTTTAATGAGTTTTATGTAGATTAGTTTAATGTACCATCTTCTAAATTACTCATGGATGCATTTTTAGGTCTCCATGGACAAAAAGAAAACCTTTTAATTTCTTCATGTCCGCCTTTCCTTAGCCATTTTACTCGGAGACTATTGGTTTTTCAATTTTAAAACGTAGATGTCTATGTGAATTGGTATAATATGGTGGTGTAAGAAAATTATGAATCCTATATTACTGAAGGGTGAAATGTAAATTTGAGTTCATAGCGTGATTTGTATACACCCAAAGTCGTAAACATAACGTCCCTCCCGTCATATTTTTAAAGTATGAGTGTAAAATGTGAATACTATGAAAAAATATCAAAATTTTAGAGAGGATAAGTTTTAAGTATGTGTTTTAAGTATGGTCAGTTTAGCGTTTGTTTTTCATAGTATTTTTAAAATGCTTATGTATATTTTCATTTTAGGTTAAATCTAGAAAATTACTTAAATAAAAATAACATAAATTTAACATTTCTTGGTACGATATGGAACCTTAGGGGTGCGCAGCTTTATTGGTTATCCATGGTGCGCAGCATGAGTCGGACTTTATTTATTTTATAAGCCTTTGAATATGCTGGCGCTATTTAATTTATCAATTAAGATCTAAAATTAAGAGAGGCATTATATTGTTATTAAACATGCAATTTATGACATATATTATGTATAATGTACGTAAGTTGCAAAATAAATTTATAATGACAATTCACACATTAAGAACAGTCTGGAAAAACATAAGGTAATAAAGTAAGATTAGCTGAGTACTCAGTGTTTTGCATAATTTGACTCATTTGCCTAATATATTTTAATTAAAATACTATATTAAGTTTTGCTATAATAGAGTGTGCGTCAGCCATTTCAGGCAGTGAATAGCACGCCTTACGGTACGACAATCCACTTATGAGCCTGTTATGTTGTCCAACATGTCAGCGCTTGACAGCGTTGGTTTTCTATGTTGGTCATACTGCTTATGACATGAAGCAAGATGGCGAGTTCATCTCCGGTTGATCGTTCGTTCCGTGTTACTTCAACGCGCATTTGATGACATTTTTTATCCGTTTTCTAATTCGAAATGAGCTAGTATTTTAGATATAAAGAAAATAAGAATAGTGATATGGTGATAATAACATTAAAATTTTTTAAATATTTTTAATTCCGATGTGCATCTATCCCACCTGAGGAATGTTGCTTTTTTTTAAGTGATTTGTGATTCGGTCAGGTGTTTTCGTTTTAGAAATAAAATTTTGTTCTTGCGCAGTGAGTGAAGTTACTGATTTCAGATGTATTTGTGTCGTGGGGATGTTAGATGTCGGGACTGTTTTCAATGTTGGGAAACAAAAGCGTAAACTATTTGTTTTGATAGATCGTGATAAAAAAAATTAGGAGGTCGGACGAGTTAAAGCCCCGGCCTAAGTGATGGCCTTCAGTGAGGTGAGTGTCATATCTGCTTTTATGGGCACATTCAAAGTGTACACTATTTTTAAGCACATATACTTTACTAAGATTGTAATACATAAAATCTTACAATTGCAAAGATATACTGATTCTAGCCACTGAGCAAGGTAATCAGTGGAGTGTGTCTGAATAATATCAGCTTTTTATCTACATTCCAATACATGTGTTTACTAATTCTATTATCAAGTCAAAAGCAACCCAAGAATGTGTCATATGATTGCTAACTGCTTAAGCTTAAATGTGATATTGATATCGGTCCAATGATAAGTTAAATGAAACCTTTGTTTTATGTATAAATTTAGAAAGTCTTGAGAAATATTAAAGTGGAAAAAATGTGTTGATCATCCTGTAATATTGTATTTTTGTAGTAATAAGAGTAAAATACATTTTTACTTAATCAAAATAATAAATGTTAAGTAAAGGAAGATGTTCAATAAAATTAATATATAATATTATTATTGATATATAATAGGTTGATAACTGCTGAACTGTTTGTTCTTTTTTTCCTTATTACATCAGCTATTTTAGCTGAATTATTTTTGTAATATAATGTATAAATTTCAAAAAATTTAACTTAATTTCAGGAAAGTAATCAATAATGTGTATATATGTGTGTCTATTTTGAAAAATGCATAGAAGATAAAAACAAGTGTTATAATTAAATGCAGTTTTATTGTGCAAAATAATTAAATACATATGAATAATGTTTTGTTACCATTACAATAAATACCATTATATGAAAGTATTTATTGTTTAATATTCACAATTATTAAGCGCAGCGACCATAAAAGATAAGAATCTTTTGTCCAGCACAATCAGATGTTCTAATGATTTTAATTAAGGAATTGGTTTTAGAATTTTGATAAAATAATATATCTACTTATAACTACAATACCTATTAGTAGTACTAAATTGTTAAATGTAATTTGTTAGTGTGGGTCACTAGCAAATGGCTTACACTTACACCTGGCTTAGTCTGCGGTATAAATGACAACTTACATAAATATCAAATTAATATTTAAAAATAATTTAAATCATTTTACTGGAAACTGCAAAAAAAGTATAATCCATACTAATATTATAATTTGAAAGTGTGTTTGTTTATTTGTTTGTCTTTCATGTCGAAACAGAGTGTTGGCCTCATTTTTTGTGTGAAGATTTTTGCAGGGCTCGAAAGTGACACAGGCTACTTTTTACTGCGGAAGATTAACTTATTCCCATGGGAAAAGATGTTATAATACAAACCAAAAAAATATTTATGATCAGAATTACTTGAAACTTGGTATTAATGCTCTTCAATACAATTGTAACGTAAACACATATTTATTAATTAAATATGTGGCTTAGTATTCTTCAAAATTCATTCCATATGCGGGTAAAATAGGGGATGAAAGTTTGTATAACACCTACCTTTTTGGAGTTTTTTGTGTAATTTTAGCGCAAGCATAGCCATGGGTTCTGCTAGTTATACCATAAATTTAACTTTTAGTTTGAATAAATTTTGAACAAGTAGGTTTATCGAAAAATGTTAAAGGAATTTTTTGTAGAGCTTTCAATTCCTTACAAGAATGTGTTTTGGTCATTCGAATTCATCTATTGAATTTTGAGATATAAAATTTTAAAATTGAAAAATAATTTTTCCCATACTATTTCTATGGAAAATGAAAATTCGCCATGCACGTCCTCTAAATATTAATATTAAGACTTTCAATGTTTACAGGCCTCTTTTCTCACTTCACTGTATCGTTTTCACAGGGGATTTCGAAAAAAAATTAAAAGTAGTTTTTTTTTGAACCAGTCTAATATATACACATACTAGCGACTCACTCTCACTTCCCTTGGGATCTTCCCTAGGTACGTTTTACCAGTTAGTATGGAAAAGATTGACTATATATTATACATATAAATACATAGGTGTGATGAGTTGTTGTGAGTTGTATTATAATTTAAAACGTGTTTTCCCGTGAGAATGAGATAATTTCCCGTCAGTTGTAAAATCATGCCGATCCGTCACTCCGTTTTGACGTGAAAGAAGGACAGACAAACACACTTTCATATTTACAATATTAGCATGGAAGTATAGACATCAATTAGGTTTACTGATTTCAAATTAATTAGCTTAAAATCTGTTAATTATGGGAATTTTTAAAAATACTTAAATAAAACAATACTTGTATCCACTAAAACATGTGTTTTCAAGTTATTGTCATATTCTACTAAACTGTAGGTATTTTTAATAGTATTTGGGAAAGTTCACACGAAGATGATTCTTAGGGCACATCCAATTTAGTAGTAAAGGTTCATAGGTGTAAACGTTTATTTAGGTAGATTCCCACGCTGCGATTGTTATTCGTCGACCAAAGAGAGCGTGCGTGCGTGGCCGGCGCCCGTTATCGCTCGTGAGACCCTGCTGTTACGTTTTCGGAGGTCAAACTGTACTGTAACGAGTTTGTTAAATGTATACTAGTTGACCATGTTTAGTTAGGTACAGTCAATGTTAAGAATTCTGGTTCAAGTATTCTCAGACCGTCGCATGTCATTGGCGATTATTAGCGTACGTAATGAAGGCGTGTTTCTTATTTTAATGTACTTAGTTATAATTTATTGCGCTTGAGGTAAACGAATTGGAAAGTAAATTTATTTAGTTTATAGTAGGTATTAATGTTCGTGAATCGTGTACATGGGCGGCTGCAAAGTTATTTCGAGGGTGGTGCATCTGCTTCTTCACATTAAACTAGGTACTAACTAATATTTAAATGATTAACTTTATAATTTTTATTCATATCTTATTTATCGTCTGTTATTTGAAGATATATGAATTTAAAGAGGGATTTTACTCATATAATTTGTATTTCTTTAACTTTTTCTATATACATATTTTCCTTCATGGTAGGACCTCTTTGCACTTGCCCTCTGCTCCCGGCGCCCATGTTCATGAATAGATAATCATTTTGCATTGTTTGTTGATAATTAAGTAATGTTTTAGTAAAAAAATAAAAATAACTAAAATAAAAAGAATATGTAACCTACTTAAAATAAAGTTTTATTGTTACAAAATTTTTTTTAGAAAATATTCAAAATAAAAAGGTATCATTGTTTTTTATTAAAAAAATACGGGCTTACAAAATAAGGTCTATGTTAATAATGTTATGTTTGCACTGTGCACTAGTGCGTTATCTATGTGGGCCGTGGTTTCCTCGTAGGTCCCCGATCAGTGATCACACCCGCATGTCAGCAAACGTACTCACTATCATATAACCAGCCTCACGTGGACTATTATCCTAGATAATATAAACAAACGAGCTACATTTGTGGGTATCCTGTTTTGCTGGATGAATAATTTAACTATCACGGCCATTTTAAACTCAGTTGTTTTTTTAAATATCGTTTAGGATACAAAATGGTATCACAATTCTGAATATTATATGTAGATTAAACGCTGTAAATATTTTGACAATGCCATAACGGTTTCGTTTAAGCCCGTGGCTTCGCTCGCGTAGTTTATTTATCGCTTCGCTCTTAAAGCTTGATGCTATACAGACTGTTACTAATGCTATAAAATGGTCAAAGAATTTATAAAATTATACTGATAGGTCCGGAGATGCGCATTCAAACAAACAAGCTTTATATACATAATATAATGAGTATAGATACAAAAAATATCGTGTTCGTCCTTGATTTTTTAGGTATTACGTGACGAAACACACATTTTGTTATTAGTTTTACCCGCTGGTTTATACTAAATAATTAATTATTATTTATACGTGGTGTAATGAATATCGTAAATTACATATTAGATAGAATTTTCCTGCTACTTATCGTACATTGGTGAAATAAAATTTAATAATTATGTTCAAGTAGATTTTTAGAAGCACTTTGAATTGTCAATCTATTATTTTATTCTAGTAACGCCTTTGGTTTTATAATCTTATGATCCATTTACACGACTACATCACGATTGTCCTAAAGCGTGTATTTTTAGTTAAAAAAATTAAAGTAAGACTTGCAAACAAACAAGACAAACCAAAATCCTTTGGGATTAACACTATTAATTAATTTATTTAATTAATTATTGTTTTGAATACTTATTAGAATAAAGAAAGCCTAATTTAAATTATGAAATTAGTGGCGTATGGCTACTTTCATGACATTAATTTCAGTAATTATTTCATTGTACTTTCAGAACTAAATTTACATTACTAAACAACTTTTTATTGATATTTTTTTTTTAATTTGACAAGAGTAAGTACTTTAAGTAACAGTTCAATAACTTGTACCATAATATTTTTAATGTTGTGATGTGACACAATAAACACACGAATCAGAGAACAATGCATGAGCCGATCCATTCGGCCAATCCGCGAGATTAGTTTAGGACGAAATTTAGTGTTATATTAATCTCATTAAAAATTTCATGGAGTACGTACGTAATTAATTATTTTAGTTTCGTAACATCAATGCATTACAAATAGAATTTATGGCATTGCTAACAATATTTTTTTTTCTAAATTGAATAAAGTAAAAATATCAACAATATGGTGCTTTACGAGTATACATTTCCAATATATTTTTTATTGATTGATTGATTTACCATCAATTAATACATAGTTGTATTCAAATATAAAATAGTCTCTATAGTTGTCATTTACGACGACTTTTCAACCGACTTCAAAAAGGAGGAGGTTCTCAATTCGACTGTATGTTTTTTTTTCTTTTATATTTAAAAATATTTCAGAGACGTGACCCGGGACAGTTTGGGGCACCATAGTGTTGAATGCTGATGTTTTTGTTCGTTTGAGCGACCTCTATCCATGGAACTAGTTTAATTGTGCGCAACTCTTTTAAGCATCGAGTTTCCATATAAAAAAGTGCGGGCCCCCCTTTTATCATCATGCATCATCACTCATTTTGTTATTTCATTATTCATAAAACTGTATAGTTTCGTAATGTAATTTCGGCATAATGACTAAACCTAG